GGTAAAGAAGTTGTATGTATATATAACGGAATATTACTTGGCAGTCAAAAAGAATGAACTCTTGCCGTTTGCAATGACATAGACAGAGCTAGAGCATCTTATGTTAAGTGAAATAAGTCAAAGAAAGACAAATGCCACATGATCTCACTCATATGTGGAATTTAAGAAAGAAAACAGATGAACATTCATGAAGGAGGAAATGAGAAAAGGAGAGAGGGAAACAAGCCAGAAGAGACTCTTAATGACAGAGAACAAAGTGAGGGTTTCTGGAGGGAGGCAGCTGGGGGATGGGCTAGACGGGTAATGGAGATTAAGGAGGGCACCTGTTAAGATGAGCACTGGGTGTTATATGTAGGTGATCAATTACTGAATTCTACTCCAGAAGCCAATATTGCATTGTATGTTAACTACCCAAAATTTAAAAAAAGGAAAAAGGTACACTCTTGTCAACCTCACAACATAAGTGATGACCATGTAGCTAGGAGGGAAAGAAAAAAACTGGGGTCCCTAGTGGGGACAGGGCAAAAACAGGTGCTAAGCTCAGGGCTTGGCCAAGAAAGCTGCAGGAACACCCCTGAGACATGGTGCTGGGGCCTGCTGAGACCAAGCTCCATCGAAACAGAAACCCAAAGTCCACTCCCCAGCAGGCCAATGAGCATTAAGCAACAAGTCACCTACTGGGGAACAACCATTCTGAGAAGTGCTGAGGGAACCCCAAAACTGAGGATGGAGCAGACACTTTAGATGAGCACCGCCACCACCCCAAAGAGCCAAAGGATCAGTGAGAGAAATCTGGAGCAACAGCAAATCTCAAACACATCCCAAGCCCTGATAGACTGACTCAAGCCCTACATGAAAGGCCTGGCAGGAGAAGGCCAGTCATTTCCAGGTCTTAGTCTCTACTGCCCTACACCAGATAAGCAACTTTCAACAAAAAAACAAGAAGCCTACACAAAAGCAAGAAAAAATGCAACATACTCCTAAAAGATGAAACCACCATCAGAACCATGGATACCATAGCGAGGGGAGCCTCAGGGGCTCAGTTGGTTAAGCATTTGCCTTCAGCTCAGGTCATGATCGCAGGGTGCTGGGATCAAGCCTCTCATCAGGCTTTCTGCTCAGTGAGGAGCCTGCTTCTTCCTCTCCCTCTGCCCCTCCTCTTTCAAATAAATAAAAATTTAAAAACTTAAAAAAAAATACATGGATAGGACAGTGATGTTGGAACTGACTGGATAGTTTGCAGGGAACCTAAAATAATATGGTTAACACATTAAAGGGTATAGTGGAAGAGGCGGACAGCATACAGGATTAGGTGGGTAATTTCAGCAGTGAAATGAACACTATGAAGAATTAACTAAATGTAAATGCTAGAAAAGAAAAACATAGCAGAAAAAGAATGCCTTCAGTGGGCTCATCCTTAGATTCAACACAGGCAAGGAAAGAATAAATGAACCTGAAGACAGGTCAAGAGAAATTACCCAAACTGAAACAGAAAGAGGGAAAAAAAAAAAAAAAGGAAAGAAAGGAAGAACATATTATCCAGGAGCCTTGAGATAATATCAAACAGTCTAATGCATACATCACTGGACTCTGAGGAAAGGAGAGAACAGGGGAAAGAAATACTTGAGGAAATAATGGCTGAGAATTTTCCAAAATTAATGACAGACACCAACTGAAGATCCAAGAAGTTCAGAGAGCACCAAGTAAGATAACTTTTTTAAAGCAGGGGAGGGGAACAAGAAACCCACATATCATAATCAAATTGTTGGTAAAAAGTCCAAGAGAAAATCCTAAAACCAGCCAGAGAAGAGACATAAATATTGTACACGGGGGCAAAGATGAAAATCTAGGCACCTTCTCTTCAGAAACCTGGCTGACAACGAAGGGACATCTTTGATGTGCTGAAGGAAAACTCTCAACCCAGAATGCTATACTGAGTTAAGATGCATTTCAGAAAAGAAGAGGAGAGGGGCGCCTGGGTGGTTCAATCGGTGCATTCAACTCTAGGTTTCCGCTCAGGTAATGATTTCAGGGTCATGAGATCAAGCCCTGCATCAGCTCTGTGCTCAGCAGGGGGTCTGCTTGAGATGCTCGCGCTCGCTCGCTCTCTCTCAAATAAATAAGTCTGTTTTCTTAAAAATCAGAGGAGAAATAAAGACCTTCTTAGACAAAGAAAATTCTTAGGAATTTATTGCCACTGTAACTACTCTCCAAGAAATGTTAAAGGAAACTTCCCAGGCACAAGGAGTACAATACTAGATGGCAGCTTAGGTCTGCAAAAAGAAAAGGAAAGCACAGGATACATGAGCCTCAGATGAAATCCATCCTCCCTACATGGAAGTACTTGAAAACTTACCATCTAAAGCAAAAAGAACATCAGCACATATGAAGAAACATACAAGCAGATGCACACAGGATTGCAGGAAGGAGGGAAGTCCCTTACACCGTGCTCAGGGGGTACGAGACCGTTCAGAGACAGACTCTGGCTAAACGAAGCCATTATGCTGTCAGCCCCAGGGCAATCACCAACAACTTTTTAAAAGAGGTATTTGAGTGCTAAGTCAGCAGACGTAAAATGGAATCATGAAAAATGCTCAGTTAACTAGAGAGAAGGGAAAACAAGAGGAAAAATAGAAACGTTTACTTGACTCTGAAAGCACACTGACGTCTTAGGCAAAGCTCACCTTGTTCCTGTCTGTGGACGGCCTCCCAATGAGCCCTTCCCACACGCACACCAGCTCTTTGATCGCCTCGAGAAGCTCCCCCCACAATTGTCCGTGCTCCTTCTTTCCCGGTTGCTCATCTGTGGAAACACCTGTGACCCCCCCTTCGGACCACTGGTCTTTCACTGTTTTCGTCAATTTGTCCCTCTGCATTCTGAGAAACCCCTCAAGTCTGTACATCGCTGACCCATTATCCCTTACAGAAAAGACCCATTTGTCACCTTCAGTGTGGATTTTAACTCTTATTTTACACATTTTCTCTAGTATTTAATGTTGAACCTGTTTTCTCCTTGGCTTTCTATTCCTTTCCAGGGAAGCCATTTCTCATCATAGCCAACTGTTTTGTTGTTGTTTGCTGCTTGCCTGTTTTTCTTCCTCTGGCCAAGTGTCTCCAGATGTCTGTTCCCTTTCTGGGTCCTCAGGATAATCTTTCATCTGCCAAATAATACATTTCATGGCACTATATTCATCACTCTTGGTCTACTCCTCCTTCAAAGAGCACCGATGTCCAGACTCTGGTTGCCAACGAGCAGGGTCCAGTGGAACCTTCTCCTTCTAGACGCTGGGGTAAGAGCTGTGCACACCTCCAGCCAAAAGCAGACTCTTTCTGGTGCAGACCCCGGACTCAGATGGAACTCCTCTTCTGCTCTTGGTGTCTGCTAGACACTCTATAAACAAGCTCTTCAAAGAGCAAAACACCCAAAACTGGCTTCCCCAGTAAGGACTGCTAGCAGGACCTTCTAGTTCCCACATGTCCTCAAAGATAATTTTGGCAAAACTATATTTTGGCACTTCTCTCCCTCTTGGTATTTCCTGGTGTTGGGGTCTTGAAGTGGATGGCAGGAAGGAGGTGCTGATGGTGGGCCTGAGGGAGCTTTGTCTGAAAGCAGAGAGCAGCATCCACCGAAGGGAGAAGCAGTGCCCATAGAGCACGGGGGAGTGGGGATTGCAGGCAAGTCTTGTGTCCAAGACACAGGCTCCAGTGGGAGGACCTCAATCTCCAGGTATCACTGGCACTCTTCAGCGGAGTCCAACGATCTCACATCTAGAAGTTGCTCCTAATCAGTGGGTCAGTTTTTGGTGGCCAGGCCTTGTTCCTCCTGTGTCTTCATGAGCCTCTATGGGGTTTGAGAAGAGCCAGTATGGCTGCTAGCTTGATGCCGTCTTATTCTGCAGGTCGCTGGAGGTCACTCCCCTCAACTCCAGTTTAGGACAAACTTCACACATAAGGGCTCAGGGGTAGTAGATGAGGGGCCGAGGAGATTAGCCTGTTTCTAGAATTACAATCCCCACAACCAGTCACGAAATACGGTGTTCTGACAGGACTTGGCTCTGTGTTAGTGACAGCCACACAGCCAACTCACTCAATTGCCACGCATTCCTTTCTCCCTTCTTTCACCACTGGTTGAGCACCTACTGTGTGCGAGGCAGACACACAGCCCTCAGAGACGACGTTGAGAAAAGAGACATAGCTCTGCCCACAGAGCTCCTGGTCCAGTGGAGGAGGTAGATACCAACTGAACAAGTCGGACACACACAGTTCACACACAGGCGACACGCTCCGGAATGTCCCTTTTTCCCTTACAGGTAAAAGCTGCTCTGCTTCTGCAGTGACATCTTCCTGTCGCTAAGGGTGGCCCAAGAGACTGAAGCCCCCCCGGCCCCTCGCTGACCTTCCTCAGCCATTACCGACCCAGGGGACACGGAGCTGGCCAGGAGGCCGTCCCGGGCTTTCTTGGATCTCACCCCAAAATTCTGTTATAACTGATGCAAAATTCAAGAGCATTTATTTCCTTGGGTTATTTTTATACAGACATTTTTAAATTCTAAAGCATAACGTAAAATGTGTCTGACATTCAAATAATGCCAAAAGAAGCCCAAGAAAGTTTTAAGAAAACAGTTGGCAGAGGTCATTTCAATGACATAACTCTGTTTAATTTATACCTGAGTATGTCCTCTCCTGCAGGACCAAGAAAATTATTCATTAAAGTACATTTTCATGGTAGAGTGTTTAAAATATAAATGTGCTAGTATTTTAAAGCTATTCTAAAAGTAAGTAGAAATATTCTCAGAGAAGAACATAACTGTCTTGACCATTTCCTCTCCAGTTCAGCATATACTCAAGTGTTTGTTGTTTCCATTCAAAAAATAGTGATTTATTTACTGGGAACACAGAGGTGACATTCGTGTAAAATAAGTTACGTACAGAATACATGTCCTCTCTCTACATCAACGTACACACACACGGGTCTCCCCGTGTCTCCCATGGGGGTCACATCTAGCCCTCGCCTCTGCCCCCACGACCCACACCGCGCCCTCCTGCAGCCCCCCTACAGGGCTTCCTGCAGGAGCAGCCGCAGCTTCCTCAGCTCGTCTGCCATGGGGGCTGCCCACGTCCTCTTCAGGTACTGGACGTCCACGCGGCCAGAGGCTCTGGCCAGCACCAGGGCCAGGAAGCTGCCGTTGGCCTTCTCGGCTTCACCCACGACTGTCATGGCCACCAGCCTGAAAGGAAGAAGCACGTGCTGTGTGATCATGAGTCCCCAAATTATCTATCCTCCAAGGAAAAAGCAAAGAGCATTTACTAAATGCTAAATTCTAAAAATTTCAGTAATAGTCAGAAGAAAGGTTAGACCAGAAATAAACATAAAAGATCTATAGAAACCGCTTAGAAAATGCATTTCTACGTTTCTGCAGACTGAGCGCTTACGAGGGTCACAGGTCACGACGCAGGTGCGCTGTCTGAAGACACCTGTGCGTCCCACCCCGGTCAACGCCCTGAGCGCAAGACCCTCCCGGCCAGCCTGTTCCTCTTTTCTGCAAGGCACTGAGGAAATAGTCTGCGGTGAGCTTTGGGTATAACTCAGCCCCATCGTTACTTACAGAGACGAGGAGGAAGGATTTTAAAGGCAGACGACATCAGACCATTCGGGACAGGTAGGGTTACAAGGAGATAAACACAATCTCATCAAGTAAGGAGAGATTTGCGGCAGGAAATAGGGTGAGGGAAATAGTTTGTGGGATGCAAGCCAGGGAAGAAAGTATCCTTAGACACTGAGAGGAGCCAGAAAGATCATGCGGCCTTTTTTCCAAGTACACGGCCACCAAGTAGGAACGGTTGGTGACCAGACAGAAGGCTAAAAAAGGCTAAATCCTGTGTACCTGACAATTAGAATAAAGGATCAAAATTGAAGGCAGGCTATAACAATATCAAGAAATTCTTAAAAACAAAAGTGATTTGGAAGCATAAAACTTAGTTAATGCTACCCAATATCATGAGGCGTCAAGAGCATTGTGGCTTCCTAAGTTAGAAAATGCCATATACCAAAATTTTAAATGGAACATAGTACTTTTTCCCAATCAATCCCATCTCTGAAAAACAAAGCAAAACACACACACACACACACACACACAAATGAAACAGAAAAAAAAAAAATATTTTTTTCCAGGGGAAAGAATATGGGACATGGTTGGGAACAGTAGTAGTTATATTAGTAGTATTTTAAAATAAACTTTGTATTTAAACTTGGTAAAAGAGGGTTGCCTGGGTGGCTCAGCCATTAGGCATCTGCTGTCAGCTCAGGTCATGATCCCAGCGTCCTGGGATTGAGCCCCACATCAGGCTCCCTGCTCAATGGGAAGCCTGCTTCTCCCTCTCCCACTCCCCACTTGAGTTCCCTCTCTCGCTGTCTGTCAAATAAATTTTTTTAATCTTAAAAAAATAATAAAGTAAAATAAAAATAAACTTGGTAAAAGCCCATTAGCTGCCTAGAGGGAATAAGGAATAAATTTCCGGGATGCCAGTGGCCCCCGAGTACCCAGCAAGGAACCCAGAGCCAGCCCAACAGCCCCGACCTTGCCTCCCCCGTCCCTTCACTGACCAGTTTCTCTGACCGGGTCCTGCCTCGCACCTCTCCCCTCGCAGGCTGCTGACAGATGCTCAGCAACGTGCGGCCCACGGCTGCTCGCCGCCCACGGCTGTTCCGGGCCACCCAGCTCCCAGCTCCCACAGGCACCTGCAGTGCCAGCCTCTTGGGACCCTCGTGCCTCCCGTCTTCCTCTGGTTCACTCCCACTTATCCTTCGAGACCTGCCTCAGTGGCGTCGCCTCCAGAGATCTCCCCCAGCCCGACTAGATCCCCTGACTATGCCTGGTTTGGTCAGGGGTCCCCAGCACCCTCAAAGTGCCTCTGGCACCCACTCATCCCACCTTTACTCACCAAGAAGGCTGAGACCATGCCTGCCTCATACCGACCTCAATGCCCCTGCCCCTCCTGTCTCCTCCTAATGACCAGGGCCATCAGCACCAGCCCCCACAGGGGCCACGATTCAGTGGGGTCCACGACACACACAGGACGGGAGCACTGAGCCCCTCCAGGGGACGCCAGTAGTCGCAGGTGGCAGAGAAACCCCACAGTGGCCCCAGAGGGTCTGAGTGCCACCCTCCCATAAGCACACTCGTCCAGCTCCCAGGCCCCTGTGACACAAGCACAGCCACCCTGACAGGGACTGCACTGAGCCCCTGCAGGCCGGTCAGTCTGCACCCACCCACGTCCCACACGCTGGAGTGCCACGGCACCACTCGTGGCAGGCAAACCATGACAAATTACAGTCGCAGAGGAAGGCACACCCTGAGAGACTCCAGGGAGCAGAGGGCTGCTGGAAGCGGGGGTAGGGGGAGCTGGGCTCACGGGGGATGACCGCTGGCTGTAACGCGCCACTGGGAAGCACTAATACTACGCTGTGTGCTGACCCAGTACTCAGTACTGCCCAGTGCTCCAACACTGCCATTCCGTGACTACTGTAAAACACAGGCCAAGCTGAGTCACCACAAGCTTGGAAGCATGAGTAGCAGGTGACAAACGCGGAGGCTTCCGTGGCATAGCGACTGTGATTCCCGCGGGCGCCACACGGCGTGCTCTACAGGCCACCGCCAAGCTGGGGCCCCGTGAAAAGCACGAGGACAGAGGTCAAAGCCCCAGTGCCTGTGGGACGGTGCAGGTACGATGTCTTGGGGATTGAGAGCCCGACGGAACCCAAGCTGAGGGCGGAGAAAAGGCCCCTCTGTGGCAGCTGCCCCCGCCTCCACGCTGGCCCAGAGCCACACCTGCTCCCCGCACACTCGCCCCCCGCCTGCTTCTGCTCCCAGACCATGAGCCTGCAGGTTCGAAATTCACCCCAAGTGTGGTCAGTTCCTCCTTCTACCTCAACTCGTGCCTTTTAGACTCTGTTAACAGTTTCTTGCTCCGTTTTTCTCTGCGGCCAGAGAAACACTGGGCCCTTTCTAGGAATACGACTCCTTCACCTAACACTGCCACTACCCAGACGGGAGGCGTCGGGGAAGGAACGTTCCACGTCCTTCTCTGCTCTGCCTCGGCAGCTCCCCTGCCCCATGGGGCTTCAGCTCGCTGCCCCCTCCCGAGATCTGGACACCGGCACCGACGGCGTGCGGCTGGAGGACTGTCCTTGGTAAGACCTTCCTTCCCTGCCCCACTGAAAATCCACACCCGATCCCGCCCTTCTTCTCCCCATCACGGGCTGTGGGACGGCTCGTTTATTTTGCTTACGACCCACCGGGCCTCGAGCCGGCAGCCGGTTCCCGCCGCCCCGCTGCACGCAGTGTGCCGGGCGCACGGCAGGTGCTCCCACACACCTGTTTTTAGCAGCGGACAAGCTCTGGAGAGTACACTGTGTGCATTCTGTGTTTCTATGTGAGCCACAGTCTGGATTTTGGTGATATAGTTTTTAATAATTGGAATAATGTAAGTGGGTCCCTTTCTGGAGACTACTCTTCCCTCAGTCTGCTGCGTTCTTGTGCCAGGACCAGGCTGCCTGGTGATCGCAGCTGTGTAACAGGGCTTGAGATCAGGCAACGAGAAGCCCCAGCTCCGGTTTTCTTGTTCCACCTTCCCCTGGTGATTTGGGGTCCCTCCCGGATCCACACAAACTGTAGGCTTGCTTGTTCCAGCTCTGTGAAAGATGCCGTTGCTATTTCGATGGCGATGGCGTTGAAAGTATCGACTGCTCTGGCAGCGTGGACATTTTAACAATGTTTATTCTTTCGATCCACGAGCAAGGAGTGTTTTTCCATCTCTTTGTGTCGTCTTCGATTTCTTTCACGAGCGTTCTGTAGTTTCTCGAGTACAGATCCTTTACCTCTCTGGTTAGGTTTATTCCCAGGTATCTTACGATTTTGGGTGCTACTGTGAATGGAATCAATTCCCTAATTTCTCCTTCTACAGTTACATGTTAGTGTATAAGAAAGCAGCTGATTTCTGTGTATTGATTTTGTATCCTGCCACATCGCTGAATTGCTGTGTGATGTGGTCCCTGTACACGACGGAGTAGCGCGCGGCCGTCAGAAAGGATGAACACCCGCTACGTGAACCGACACGGACGGGACTGGAGGGGACGATGCTGAGTGACGTACGTGAGACAGAAAGACAACTTTCATGTGGTTTCACTCCTACGTGGAACATAAGGAATAGCACAGAGAACATCAGGAGAAGGAAGGGAAAACTGAAGGGAGGAAATTGGAGGAGGAGATGAACCATGAGAGACTGTGGACTCCGGGGAACAAACTGGGGGTTTCAGAGGGGAGGGGGTGGGGGGATGGGTCAGCCCGGTGGTGGGTATTCAGGAGGGCACGGACTGCATGGAGCTCTGGGTGTTCCTAGCAAACAATGAATCTTGGAACACGACATCAAATCGTAATGACGGACTGTACGGTGACTAACATAACAAAATAATAATTTTTTAAAAAAGAATAATGTAAGTGAACCTAGTACTTGCAGTAAATACATGCAGGTCCTAATTTTTTCAGGTTTTTTTTTTTCTTAGAAAGAGAGAGAAGTAGTGAGAGAGCACAAGTAGGGAGCAGAGGGAGAAGCAGACTCCACGTTGAGCAGGGAGCCCAATGTGGGGCTCGATCCCAGGAGCCGAAAGCAGATGCTTAACCAACTGAGCCACCCAGGTGTCCCTTTCCAGGCCTTACTGCTGTGTCCTCATGGTCTGTCAAACCATACCCTGGTTTTGAGCACCGCTTGTCCTTCTCTTTCCTCTACAAAGGGGTGTGGGATACAGCTGAGTGGCCCCTGTCCTCCCCAGGTCGCTGGGAGACTTCATTTCACAGCAGGAGAATGTATTGACAAGAAACAGAAAATCTCAAGAAAGAAAACAAGTATAGAGACAAAGCAGGGTCAAAAGAGAGCCCTTCACAGTGAAAACTTGATACATATTTCAACTTTCAATTAAACAAAACAACAAAAACGGGATGATTGAAAGCACATCCACACGCACATCCACACGCGCATGAATGGGTTTCACATTGCTCAGTGCCGAGGCACATGGGGCTGGTTTGAAGGGAACATCAGTTTAGTGCAGAGGAATGACACTGATATGAAATGATGTGAATTACGGACTCCCCATGGCTCCCCTTTCAGAAACTAAAAGGGAGACTCGGCACATCACTCAAACACTGAATTTAAAAGACTAATAAAGGAATGTGACTAAGGACCTCACAAAAAGCTTCTTTCATTTATAGGAAGATAATCATGGGAGGAGGGGCACCCGGGTGGCTCCATCATGAAGCCTCTGCCTTCAGCTCAGGTCATGATCTCAGGGTCCTGGGATCGAGCCCCACATCGGGCTCCCTGCTCAGCGGGGAGCCTGCTTCTCCCTCCGCCTGCTGCTCCCCCTGCCGCATGTGCTCTCTTTCTTGTTCTCACTCTATCTCAAATAAGTGAAAAAATAAATAACGATAATTACGGGGAAGAGCACAGTGTGAACTCTTTAATCCACAGAGTATTCTGGACTAAATATGAAATAACATATTCCAAAGTGGTTTTCAAAATATTACTTAAATATGTAAACATAAAAATGTTTAAATTTAAACATAAATAACCACAGTTTAAACTGTAGCAACCTTACCCATAAGCCCCCAAGGACGCTTCTAAAAAGTAGTGCCCATGAGGAGGCGCCATCAGACTCACCTGTCTGGGGAGATGAGCTGTTTGGCTACAGGACCCAGATCGCTTTCCAGCAGATCCCAGACATAAATACAGGACGTGTCATCCTGGGCCAGAAACACGGCAGGTCTGGTCAAGGACCAGTGGAGGCCTATGACCGCGTGGCCGTTGGTGCTGCCGTCCCACTGAAGGAGAGGGCGCTCGGAGGTCAGCTGGTGCAACCTGATGCTTCCGTCTGAGCAGCCGGCCTGGGGACAGGGGTGGACACTGCTGGTCTCCGTTCTGCCTTCTTTTCACTCAGTCTTACCAGAGAGGGACATCTTCAGAGCATTAGCTCTGTCCTCACAAATTACAGAGCTGAGCATTCACCCTGGAGATCCTGATACACTTTGAACCCCCTTCCCCCTCCCCAAACAGCCAATAATAAATTCAACAAATATATAAATAGGGGTTTATCTTTAACCAAGTTGAATATTGATTGCTAAGTCAACCATAGGCCGTTAAGATCGGTTCCACAGAAATCAATAACCCACTTTCTTAAAAAGATTATATAAACCTGAACCAATAATACGGTTATATATCCTCCTTGAATTGAGATTTTTATAAAACAAAACTTGGCTGGCTTATTATTTATTTTTTTATTTATTTAATTTGACAGAGAGAAGAGCACAGGCAGGCAGAGTGGCAGGCCCAGGCAGAGAGAGAAGCAGACACCCCGCGGAGCAGGGAGCCCAGTGCAGGGCTCCATCCCGGGACCCTGGGATCATGACCCGAGCCGAAGGCAGTCTCCCAACTGAGCCACCCAGGCGCCCTTGCCTGGTTTAGTAAAAGCCCCAATTTTTAGCTTAGAGAAGCCTAACTCCTTTCTAACTCGATATCTGTGATCCTTCACATGGTTCCTCCAAAAGAGCAGAGGCCTAAGTTAGCACCACAAATGCTCTGTGCACTCTGGGGTAGAGCACAGAAGTGAACGTCACAGGTAAGAGAAGCCAGGTCTCTTCCCACCGGCGGGTGCAGGGAAGCAGGGTTGCCCTGGCATTAAGGATGTGGGCCAGCACAGGGTTAAGATAAGCAGACAGAGCTCAAAGTGGGGATCAATACTGCCCAGCAAGCACTTCCCACTGCCCAGATCTTAGTTTCTCAGGACTCTTCTTCTGACTGCAGCAATGACTCCTTGGAGAAAAGGCTGATGCTGGAGTTTACTGTACTGGAAAACAAAGAAGGGCCCATGGAAGGAGGCCAGAAAACCCCAGAGCCAGCCTGAAGGATGCCCCCAGGACAGGCTGAGCAGCAGAGGCAGTAAGGCAGCCCCACAGAGGGTGTGACCCAATGAGGACAGTCAATGGCTATGTGTCCACTTGATGTCCTAAATATACAGACACATGCCTGCCCAGAAGCACGGACATCCATAGACAGACTGGGAGAGAGAGGATGGAGCCATAGAAGGAAGAGTGGGATATGACAGGCAGGTTCCTGTAACTTTCCTATAAGCCTAAAGTACGTGAAGATAAAGACTTTCAGATCCATCCCACGGCGGTGTGGGATGCTCCGCACTGGCTGCACACGGGACCCTCCCTCCAGGCCGCCCGCTGGCACCGAAGTGGGCTGGTAAGTGCTCCACTTTAAAGAAATCCCCGAGATCACTGCTGGTGTTTTGCTGCCCAAACAGAAATGGTGCTTTAACAACCAACTTTCTTACCAAGAATACTGGTTCTCCAAATGGTGAAAAATCAATCACATTCACTTTGACTGGTCTCATACCAGGTTGCTGGGGTTTGTACAATTTGGGAGATACTTTCAAATCTTGTCTGGTGCCATGACTTATAAGACCCTGGTAATAAGAAGACCAATGGTGATAAAAAGGATCAGGCATCAGGTTGGATTAAGCAGTTATTCTTGAAACAATTACACAGCATCATTAAAAATAATAATAACAAGTTAATCTTTAATGAAGATATTTGCCAAGGAACCAGGAAAGGAGAATGAATTACAGCATTAGATTTAAACTCCTACTTACCACGTCTGTGCCAACAATGAAGTGACTAGGGTCTGAAGGCAGAAACTTCACATTCAGGGTTTGCATGGCCCCCCAGAATTCAAAGTGCGTATGGGAAAGGCTGGAAAGAAACAGCGAAGATGAGTGGATGAGCTGTTTGACGCCATCGGGCTGACAGTACGTCACACACCCACCCCTTGCCGGAGTCCCTGGACAACAGAGCTCTTCGCAGCTCTTAGCCCCTTTCTTCTCCTGTTCCCTAAGCTCTGGGCAGGCCTCCAGCTCTGGTCTCCCGTTCACTAACTCTTTCTTCAGCTACGTCTAATCTATCTAACCATCCACAGACTGTAAATTTGAAAGATTATAGTTTCTTTCTAGAAATGTCTTTTAGACTGTCCCATTATCCCAAGTTCTTGTTGTGCTGAACCCATTCGTTGTGCTGTGGTAGATGCTGCTTCAGACTTGGAGTTTTTATCATTTTTCTTTCTCTTTTTCTTTTTTTTAAAGATTTTATTTATTTGACAGAGATCACAAGCAGGCAGAGAGGCAGGCAGAGAGAGAGAGGAAGAAGCAGGCTCCCCGCTGAGCAGAGAGCCCGATGCGGGGCTCGATCCCAGGACCCTGGGATCATGATCTGAGCCGAAGGCAGAGGCTTAACCCACTGAGCCACCCAGGCGCCCCAATCATTTTTCTTTCTGAACTGCTTCCCCTAAGAGTGCTGGGAGCCCATCTCGTGTGAGCATCCCCCCTGCCTCTGTTGGAGTGCTGGCAATACTGACTCCATCTGGTGTGTGTCCTCTCTTGGGGCGACGTGTTCTGGGCCCCTTGGGGAGTAATATACACACCTAAGAAAGGACCACTGAGGCCAGAATGGGGGAGGCTTGCTCTGACCGTCCACCAGTTTGTTAAAGACAATGTAGGGGGGCGCCTGGGTGGCTCAGTGGGTTAAAGCCTCTGCCTTCGGCTCAGATCATGGTCTCAGGGTCCTGGGATCGAGCCCCACATCGGGCTCTCTGCTCAGTGGGGAGCCTGCTTCCTCCTCTCTCTGCCTCTCTGCCTACCTGTGATCTCTGTCTGTCAAATAAATAAAATCTTTGGAAAAAAAAAAAAGACAACGTAGGGTCTCCGCTTCCTGAGGCCCAGACGGCGCCATGAGATCTACCTAGGGGTTAGCTTGCGGGGAGGGGCCCACAAACCCTCAGACCACACCACGAGGCCTCTCTGCACACCCCTCACTCTATAAAATCTGTGCACTGTGGTGTGAACCCTCAGGGATGAGCTGCGCAATTCTGGTGATCGCCTGCTCGGCCCTCCCCGTCTGCAGGTTACCCTGAACGAAGCACGGGGCTGACTGGACGGAGTCGCCCGCTTGGCTTCCCAGCCTCACACGCCTTCGCCGCAGAAGGACGGGCCTCCTCCAGCCTCGAGCGCCGCCTAGCGGGCAACTGTCCTGGGGCCCACCGGTGGGCCGCCTCCTCAGCTTGGGGGTCCCCTGGGATTCCAAGTCTCCTGCCCCAGTGTCTCTCCTGGGTCGGGGTGGGGCTTCCTGAGTCTCTTCCTCACTGAAGCCGCCGTCAACTCAGGAACCCCGCACGGCGCTCTCACTTCGAGCCCTCAGCGTCCCGCAAGCCTGATGCCGTGCTGGTCGCATGGCCTGAGCCCTGCAGGGCCACACGGACAGCCGAGCCTCCACACGACGGAGGCCTGCGTGCTAACTGCAAGCTCCGCTCCCGGCGGGCGCTGTCCTCGTCTTTGCTGGGAAAACTGTTTAGTTTATGGTTAGTTTTTCTGTTATACAACATATGTTACAAGTACAGGAAAGGGCCCACGGCTGCTCCTTCTGCCAGAAGCTGGGAATCTGGCCTCTCTCCCTCGTACCCACATTCGGGACCGCCAATGTCCCCGGTCAGCTGAGGACTCCCCAGTCGGAGATCCCTGCCATGGAGCTGGCGGCCTCCCGGTCATGGCCACACGCAGCACGGCCCGGCCCCCTCCCACTGGGCTCCCGGTCCTCACCTTATGTGCGGGACAGCTGGCCGCAGAGCCGGACACTCGGGGCAGGGCAGCTCCCCGAGCTCCACCCCCTGATTGAGGCCAACCCCTCCATAAGCAAGACGGCCCCCGCGCTTCACACCCCAGCCCTCTGTCCACCCTGCAACAGCTCCTGTCTCCCTTCCTCCGTCCAGTCTCACAGTGTTGCCAAGTCGACCCTCCTAAACCACAAATGAGACTTGCCACCCCTGCCTTAAAATCCTGTCCCGGCTCCGTCCCTCCTGCAAGAGGGCCGTGTGCACCCGCCAGCACAGCAAACTCTCGCGCCTGGCCAGCAACTCGCACCCACCTCTCTCAACAGCAAACCTGCGGGCAGTATCCTAGGTGGGTCGGGGGCTCGTGCCCCCCCTCTGACTGAGCACTACCCTCGTCCACCTCCCATCTCAGCTGTCACCCCCAACCCACGGGAAATCCAGGGAGGGCCAGGGGTCACCTGCGGCTGGTGCTACTGTGTAGCAGCTTTTTCAAACAGAAGAGAGTCCCTCTAGTAATTATATTTAAACCAACTAAAGCTGATTTACAATCTCAAAACAGGTACAAATTCATTACTATCACCCAGAGGCACTCTAAGAGAATCGCACTACTATAAAGAACTTTTCAAGGGCAAATCGCATGCTGATAGCCCCCACTACAATAAGACCCAGAAAAGATATTTCAGGAACAAGTTTACATGGCGTATATAAATCCCACAGACAATACTTGTGTATTTAATAATCTTCATGTCACATTAAGTCATAGGAGTAAAAGCGGAAATTGAAGCTTCTAAGTAACACTTTCATATCAAAGTTTCTGAACCTGAAACCCACTTAACTTCAGTTATATTAAAACTGGTGGAAGTACAGTCAAAAAATTTTTTGAAAGATTTTATTCACCCATTTAACAGAGATCACAAGTAGGTGAGGAGAGAGGAAGGGAAGCAGGCTCCTGCTGAGCAGAAAGCCTGACGCGGGGCTCGATCCCAGGACCCTGGGATCATGACCTGAGCTGAAGGCAGAGGCTTTAACCCACTGAGCCACCCAGGCGCCCCAAAACAGTCAAGTTTTTGTAGTGCCGATGTATAAGATAGAAATTATCGAGAGAGAGATGTTCGCTGTACACCTGGTAACTGCATTTATTACACTGACTCATTAATACCAAACTAACTCGGCAAAACGCAGTGTGAGAAGTTGGATTTTCCCTGCACACCTGACCACGCACGTTCCGTATGCGCGACTCCCTGACGCTGGGAAAGGAGGGAAGGATCTGACTCAGGGGCACCGACTTACCCGTCGCTCAGCCGAACCACAGCACTGTGCACCAGCTTTACCCTCCCTCCAGGGATCAAACCTGAAAACAGGGCAATCGTAAATAAACGCACCTCTTAATACGAGTTAAACCAAAATCCAATTACAGTTGCCTGAAATCATTTTTCATTGCCCAAAGAACTGTGTTACGAAATGACACCAAAAGGTGGGCCCATAGTGTTCCCTCCTTAATGCAGGCAAGGGTCCCGCAAACTGCCTTATGAGAAAAGGACTGTGGAACCAATCAAGAAGCCTTTACGTTTTTTTTTTTAGATTTGATAAAATAAAAAAATGGTGGTACACTAAGCAAAACAAAAACAAAAAAAAAAGAAACCTTAAGTTTCCAAGAGGAATACTTTGCCGTAAATGCCCACTGGTGGTCTCGCGCGCATCAGAAACCCCAGAACCTCCCTCCTCACAAACGTGGAGGCACGCCCGGCGGTCGCTCGCTGGCCGCAGAGCGCACAGGCGCCCCCACTCCTCAGCGCTCGTACCCCCTTCCCTGGACCAACAGCTGTTCCCTCCCTGGACTCCCAAAGCATTTATGGCCACAACCCTGACCCCTCAGCCATTCACTGGCTTTGCCTCCTCTGTCTGTCCCCAATATCCTCCCTCTTTTTTTGTAATTCCTGCAAAGGAGGGAATTAAACATGTATCTATACTGAAACCCAAATTCTGGGCAAGGTACTGCCTAGAGCCTTGGGAGTGTGTCAAGCGTAGCCACGTAGACAAAGTCGACTTGCGAGAGGAAGGGTGACTGTAACTATGTGACGGGCTCTGTCCCAGTTACTGACGGGACCATGTTCGCTGTTGCTGTCACACACATGAAACTGCCCTCCATTTTCCCCACGCACTGTCCTCCTGCAGGAGGTCTCGGCCTAACTGTTACGACCTCCCCTGGGAAGTCTTCCTGCCCCAGGTGCTCAGCCTTTAATAAGCGCTTCTGACACAGCGGTCACAGCCACGATCGCCACGGCTGGTGTGCCGGCCTCCCCCAAGACAACACCCGGGGGGCACAGCCAGTGTCCTGTCACCGCGCTCCCCCGGCAGCAGAAAGAGGGACAGCTTGTTGAGAGAGTCCTTTGCCGACGGCGAGGGGCCCGCTGTAGCAGTGACCTGCGTGAGCGCTCACGTCAGACACACACGCCTCGGACCCTCCCCCGGGCGCTTCGCGGCCAGAGCCCCTCCGGCACGGACTACCGGTAGGAACGTCATCCCTTCTTCTCCCAGAAGCAAAGCTGAAACAGGGCCAGAGCTTGGGTACGAGGTTCTATAGATAAAAGGAGTTTCTAGATAACGACCTCTAAGGATGGGACACACCCTGCCCGGCCCTGATCCCGGGCGACAACATGCAACGCGACTTCACCTCCACGGGCCGACTGTGAGCCGCTGTGCAGAGAGACTGAGCCCTCGCCCCCATCCAAAATTCCTAAAACATGCCCTGGTCACGCTTCAGGTGAGGGACACAGGCAGCCTCACCGTGCGCTCGAAGGTTGCAATCCCCCGTGGGCCCGGGGCCCCAGCCAGGGTGAGGGCAGGTCAGCCCTGGCCCGACTCTGAGTCCGGCCCCACCATCAGGCCACGCAAGGAGGAGGGGGTGAGCCCCTCGAAGACATCGTCCTGCTCCGACATCTGGGAGTCTCCAAGCCCCCCAGAGGCTCAACATAGACTCAGCATGACGACTTGGCAGGAAGCAGAGAGGATGCTGCAGGAAAACAGTGAGAAAACGGCTATTCTGCCTCAAAAATGTCTCTGAGTGAAACCCCTGAATGATTCAGCCTCGTTTTCGTTGCAGTTCGAGTGCACACCGCCTCGGACGCGGGGCACCGAGCACCCCAGCTCTCGCGCTCTCACTTCCACACGGCGGGCGCGCGCGCTCCTTGCTGGCGGGGGCAGGGCCGATCCCCAGAAGCTGAGCCACCGACCGAATGACGTTAGGACAGTCAGGGAGCGCCAGACCCGAGGGACAGATGCACGACCCTGTTCCCGAGCCTCGGGGGGCCAGAGCACTGGATGGCGCAGTGGCGGCGGTGGCAGCGGCCGAGTGCCCGAGCTGACTCACGGCTGACACAGAGCAGGGAGGGGACCCCGGTCCCTCATCCAGGAACCCGTCAGCCGCCACGGTCACCCAGTTCTCTGGCCCTGCTGGCAGGTGCCACTTGCTGCCAGAAACCAGGCCGCACTCCGGAAGCCACAAGCTCTGAGCAAGCCCCCGGGACCCAGTTTCTGACCGGTTCACCCCCACTCCGACAAGCGCTGACCCAGCAGCACGCGGCGGGGAGGCCAGGCCGTGGGGACCAGCCTGAGCCGGCCTGAGCCAGGACCGAGCTCAGCACCGACCCTTCACAGCTTCCCCCTCGTTATCACACTAAACTCACACCCGGGCTGGGGACTTACCACGTGAACCCGACAAGCAGCCTAGGAAGGAGCACAAAGAACCAGGACCGCCCAGTGTGCGCCCAGAACACCCCTGCCCCGCCGCCGAGGCGGCCCCTTCTCCCCTGTCTGCCTAACGTCTCACCGACCCCTCCCGGGGAGCCAGCCGAACCCCTTCGTGGTGCCTCCCCAGCGCCGGAGCTCGAGCCCCAGTGAGCATGGCCCAGAAACCCCTTCGGGCCTCTCGCCGGCCGCTACTGCCTGGGGAGCCCCGGGCCGCTCGGCGACGGTGAGGGGGCCCCACCGGGGGAGACAGACTGCTGAGTGTGCGGGGCGGGGGAGCACAAAGAATGACACACGGAAGCGGGACGGGCTACCCTTCCCGAGGTGGAAACACCGCCAGCCGGAAGGACATCAGCGACTCGCTGGCGGCGCCTGCTCCGTGGCCGGTTACGGCTCCGCACCGCTCGGACCGCGGCCTCCAGATCGCCGGTGTCGTCTGCGACAGCCGCTTGCTTCAGAGCGGTTGTCGGTATCTTTAATCTCTATTCACTCCAGAAAGCACTGACCAAATTTAATCTTTTTTATTGAATAGTTACCTAAGTCACTTACTGAGCCTGCAATGTCTGCCTTCAGTAATTCAACCACCACCTAAAAACAGAATATTGAAATGAGCATTAATGCGTGTCAGGGCCGTACCAGGACACGATCTACGCAAAGCGCGTTCTCATTAGGACAGCACTGTACGCTCGGTACTAAACTCATAACCGCTCCAGAAAAAAGACCGATCGCTAACTTCAAAGCCAGCATTTCAAGTGTCAAGAATCCCTCCCCTTGACCTCTTCTCAAACCCCTTCATTCCGACTGGCCGGTGGCCAGAGCCTCAGTGCGACCTCCAAGAGCACCCCCGACCGCACCCCCAGCCCCCCCCCCTCACTCCCCCAGAAAGGCCTGCAGCAGCCTCCGGGTCAGCCCAGCCTCGCCCTTGCCGCTCCCGTCTTAGCCAAGCACGCCCTTGTCTGACCCTTAGCCGCGCCGGGACTACCGCGGACCCGGCACGTCAGAGGGCCCAAGCTCCGAGTCAGCGCTGCCCCGTGTGTGAGCGCCTGGGCGCGTCCTACTCACCCACACATTGAGAACCCCACTTTCATCCAGGGAAGCGATGTGGAATGACAAACCTGACATCTCTAGTGGCAACAGAAACAGGAAAAGTCTTGTGAACAAGGAAACCACGTTGGATAACTTGTTAGAAGGACCTGACTGAGGTGAAAAGCCACATACCTTCTTGAGTAGAAAAGGGGGAAAGCACAAAACTCTGTTTTCTGTAGACAGGCGTGGAGACAGGTTCCACCGCTTGAACAGGACTGCAGTGGTTTACGGAAGTCAGGATGCCGTCTAGGGTTTAAAGCACACAGGACCACATGTGAAGGAATCACAGAAGCGCAACCAATGTCATGTGGGTTCCAGCCTCCCCAAACACCAAAAACCAATATGGGCCTCCAATATTTTGAGGCGTGATCACAGCTTCCAGCATGACCACGACACAGAGACCATGGACCTCAAAACACCTGTAAGGAGAGAGACAAGTTCTCATTCCCCAAGTGTACAAGGCACCGCGGGCAGGGGTGAGATGAGGACTCTTCACGCACGAGGGAGTTGAAGGTGGAACAGAAACCACACAAAGGCGCCCTCAGAGAGCAAACCCAGCTTCCAGGGCAGGGCCCGGGGGGCCGCTCACAGGGACAGACAGCCCAGAAAGTGAGGCGCGACAGAAGGGCAGGGCCCAGCGGCACACGGAGCAGACACCTGCCTGTAAAGAACGACATTTCACAAACTAATAGAATAAAGCTCCTTTGACCTACAATAGCCGTCTACAAAAGGTCCAAGAGCAGGAAAAAATAAAAACAGACAAACTCCATACAAAACTGCTGTAAGAAGAAAATACAAAATGCAAATCAAAGCATTTGAGAGGACAGTCCTCCTGCCCCAAACGAGCACTTAGCAGAAGCCCAGAACCGCCTCACATCATTCAAAAAGCACTTGGAAATGGACTTCAAGCAAGCAACCAAACAAGCAAACATCTGAAATCAGAAACCCAGGACAGACGGGGAGAGCAGGGGCCGAACCCTGGGAAAACCGGTGAAGAGCAGCCAAGACCCCAGTTCACGGGGCCCAAGGCGCGAGCACTCCGGGCAGCCCACATACTGGGGCAGGGGGAGGGGGGCATACTGGGAGGAGAGCTGAGCACCACAGGGGTGGGGGAGGGCTAGGATGGGGGAGAGTGGGTGCGTGCATTGCAGGGGGGCTGCGAACAGGTGAGCCAACCTGGGGGGCACACAATGGGGGGCCACACCAGGGGTGGCCTGCAGGGGGATGGCACTGGGGGATCCACTGGGGGGGCCTGTAGGGGGATGACACTGGTTGGGGGCTGTGCAGGGACTGGGTCGGAAGCTCCCCAGCTCTCTCACCACTGGGAGCTTAGTGACACCTGACTGGTCCCAGTGGCAACATTCATTTGGCAAAAGAAAATGAAGGAGATGTTTGAATGGAGTCACTTATCCGTATGTGCGGTTCAAAAACTTACTGTTCTAGTGTTTTGAACATGGTCATGAATTCGAATGTTAATTAGTACCTCTGGAGCAGTCAGAAAATGCACATATTTAAAAGCTATCTTTTGGGAGGTGCCTGGGTGACTCAGGTGGTAAAGTGTCTGTCTTCCGCTCAGATCACGATCTCAGGGTCCTGGGACGGACGCCCACGCCAGGCTCCCTGCCCAGCGGGGAGCCTGCTTCTCCCTCTCCCTCTGTGATCTCTCTCTTTCTCTCTCAAATAAATAAATAAAATCACTTAAAAAAAAAAAAAAAGCTATCTTCCGTAATAGCATTAAACCCATAAGTTACCTATAAACTCTTACATTCTCAACAGTAGCAACACTGCCACCATGGAGGCAAAGGTCGTTTGCTAGAGGAGAAAAAACCTTTGTTTATGCATTGTGAAAATTAATAAAGGGAAACCTCACTCCAGTGGAATTGGGAGGCTAGCTGGGGGCCCAGCCCTCAGTGCTGGTCACAAGAAGAACTGTCAGAGACGCCAACATCAGAACCCTCCACAAGAACAAAATCACCTGGGAAAGATGTCCACTGCATCCCGTGCAGCTCAGCTGGTGAGAAACCCCATCACCCGGAACCCCTGCTTCCCACCAGGGGACCTTCCTTCCTAACAACCCTCCCGACTTCATCCTTCTCCAAGAAAGAACGTCCTTGTCCTGTGTGTCTCGCACTTGCCTGTAGATCTGCCACAGCGTGCTGGTCTGGTTTGCAACCCTCCTCCATGCCCAAATAAACCCACTTTTGCTGGTAAAGTAACTGGCAGCTTTAAGGCTCACGGTATAACACGGGTCGCACATACAGCACACAGACACGCACCATATGTGAGGTATCAGACTCTCGTGGAGGGAAACTGGGGACAGAAAGTTCAAAGGGCCACCTGGTTAAGAAATTCTCGAGAAGATGAGCACAGCCTGGGAGAAAATACTGGCAAAAAACAGATTTGATAAAGGACTGTTATCCAAATTAAAAAAAAAAAAAAACCTCTTATAACTCAACAAGAAGGCAATAAATCACTTGTAGAAATGAGCTGAAGACCTGAGCAGACACCTCTGGGAAGAAGACACACAGCAGCTAAAGCAAGCCCATGGGACGCACGGGCGGAGCCGTCCACTGACCACCGACTCTTGGTTTTGGCTCGGGTCGTGATCCCAGCCGTGAGGTCGAGCCCAGCGTCAGGCTCTGCACTCAGCACCAAGTCTACTTGACGTTCTCTCTCCCTCTCCTTGTGCCCCTCTCCCCACAACTCACGCACGCTCTCTCTCAAATAAATAAATACATCTTTTGTTAAAAAGCTTCTGAAAAGGTTCTGCACATCCTATGTGATCAGGAAATGCAGACTAAAACCACAGTGAGACACAAGTACACCTATCCAAGTGGCTAAAAGGCCAGTGGTCCCAAGCACTGGCGAGGGGCAGAGCAGCAGGAGCTCATGTTTGCTGCAGCTGAGACGGGCCCTCCAAAAGTAGGCTCTTGTCTCAGCCGCCCACAGCCGCGCTTAACCATATGCTCACCTCCTGGCGGGCAGGTAATGACACGGGGGACACAGGGCACACGGGGCAGGCACGAGCTGCTGGTGCACGCAGCAGCACAAAGACCCGTAAAGGCAAAATGCTAAGTGAAAGAAGCCAGGCTCCAGGGTCCACATGCTGGAGGATCCCATTCACTGGACATGAGGGGAAAAGCAAACCGTAGACAGAAAACGGATTAGTGGCTGGTGGCACTAATGAGACACAGGAAACCAGGAGATCCTGGGCAGGAACAGAAGAAAGACAGAGTGAAGACGATGGGGTCTGAGCGCTGGCCCTGCCTCCACAACAGTGTGACCAGAGACAAGCTTCTCCTCTCCCTGAGCAGGAGGGAAGGAGCCCAAGACAGGCATCAGACAACCTGTGTCTACACAGCACTGAGGACGCCCCGGGACACGAGGGCCCACCAGCAAGGTGGGGGTTGTGGCTGCAGCTGTGGTTGTGTGGGTGTGGCTGCTGCAGTGTGTGCGTGGGTGCCGGGACTGTGGTTCCAGCGGCACAGTGGGAAGCTCCTGGCAGGTTCAGGTGTGCAGGGTCCTTTCACCTCCGGGAGGGGAGGCATTTTCTGTCTACTTCAAGCATCAGTGGGGTTAACTAAGCCAAGGAACACACACGTTCCACTATGCCTTGTGCTAACTTAAAACTAGAAGTTATTTCACTGAGGATTTGGAATCCAGAAATTTAACAAAAAAGAGCATTCTAATCATTGTTGGTCGTGAGCTGAGCCCTGCGGGTAGATTTTTGTTTTTGCTGTTCGTCAAATGCTTCTTTTGCTCATAGGTCAGACCCTGTCCTCTGTGGTAATCTGAAGGAAGGATGTTCCTCAACACTATCCTGACTTTTCTAGAGGATACCAGATGGGCAGGTGGGGGTCACTGACCAGTAGAAAATGTTGCTGTCCTGAACGTCCAGAAGCAATCGCCCAGCTTCACATAACGATGTATTCCGGAGTCTTCTCGTAGGTCCCACACGACCACCGACCCGTGCACTGTCCCAGCAAACAGTAAAAAGGCTTTAAAAGGGCTAAAGCAGCAACATGTGACCTGGAATGACACACAGGAAGCTGGAGACTAAAAACATGAAGCCATGGTCAGGGGAGCGCCAACCCTCCCCACGTCCCACACTGTCCTCGGGAACCCCTGACCCAGAATTAAGCAGGTACAAGTCCGCACCGGCTCCAGGTGAAAAGCAGGGAGGACGAGCTCCCCTCAAGGACTGGCGGTCACAGACATGGCGCCTCACACACACCTGGGCACGCAGAGTGTGCACCACGACCCCTCCGTTCAACCCAAGTCACCGGGCCCAGAACGGCAATGCCACGCTTTGCCATCTTATTGACATCCTGTATCACAAAACCTGTAAAAGTTACTCTTCTCAACAACTTCGGTGAACATCGATGACTTTGAGATCAAAGAGCACATGAACAGGAAAATACAAGTACGTATTTTCCCAACACAAACGGAAGCAGACCTAAAAGGACAGCTCTTCCACTGTATCTGTTAATGACGGGCTGGGAAGCACGCGAGAGAGGGCTCTGCCACCCTTCAGCCCATGAAGAAACTCCTGAAATATCCATGACTCAAATCCTACGAGCCAAAAAGGACACTTCTGGGGTCCAGAGCCATGCTGAGGGTGACCAACATCTTCATGAAGTCCATAGCTACGCTGGTACCTACTAATATGCTGGTCATCACAAGGCTGTGATGACCCCACATTTCTTCAGTCTGAGATGACCTTTGAACTAAGAATTTCTAGCGTCAAAGCAGACACGTGCCTGTGTCCCCTCATACCTGCACACAGCTGAGGACAGCCAGGGAGAGAAAGAAATGACCCCTGAGTCCCCATGGGCCCGTGCTGCCCTCCACTGGACACCATGCCCCTCCCACGGCTGGGCCTTCCTGTCCGTAAACTTACGACTCTCCTGGGTCCGTACCTTCGACTCGCATATCAGCACCTTCTGGGGCCCCGAAGGCTGCCAGATATCCCACACGCACAGTACGTATCTGCCGTCCAGAGCAGGGGCGAACGGGGCTCCAGGAAGCCCGTGCACAGATACCACCATCTGTCTCTGCCCCCGAGAGGCACATAAGCACAACACTGTCCGATCTGGGGGTAAAAATGAGAGAAGGGTGTCGGCATGATGGTGTTTGCCGGAATCCACTTTAAATGAACACACAAGAACATCCAGATAAGGGCGCCTGCGTGGCTCAGGCAGTGGAGCGTCTGCCTTCAATTCGAGACGTGATCCCAGAGTCCTGGGATCGAGTCCCACATCCGGCTCCCGGCCCAGTGGGGAGTTCTCTCTCTCTCAAAGAAATATATTTTTTTTAAGAAATATTCAAATAAAGTTCCCCGGAATGAACAAAGTCCTTTCATAGCTGCCTGGGCCTGAGGTCTGGGTTTCGGCAAGTGGCCACTGCTCTCCCTGAGAAAGGCCCGGGTGGCCTCGTGGTTTCCTGATGCTTGGCGTAGGCCCCTCGTCCGCCAGCTCTCCCAGGGAACCAAGTTGCCTGGACACGATCTGGAGTCAGGCCGTACAGAGGACGCGTTTGTGCCTGGCTGAGCCCCTCAAAGCCTGTGGTTTTCACTCAGCGAGGCCTTCTCCCTCAGGACCCTAGAGTGCTGGCCCTGTCACTTCCTGTCCTCGGAACTTACCCCTCTGGCACACAGCACATTCACCCCTCCAGTCACCTGGAGGCCAGGGTTCCAGCCCCCTGACCCGAAGAGACAGCAGCCAGTGTCGGCCGCATCATTCGGTGGGCCGTGTCTCAACAGCGAGGACGGCGCCGCACAGATCCGTGAGAGGCACGGGCTGGGGTGTACTGAGACCAAGTCCAAGGCTCACAGGTGAGACCCACTTCTCTGTCAGATAACCTACCATCTAATCTCTTTTTCCTTCCATTACCTCAAAATTCATGTCACTGAAGGGGCACCGGGGTGGCTCTCTCGGCTGAGCAGCCGACTTGGTTTTGGCTCAGGTGGTGATCTCAGGGCCTTGAGCTGGTGCCCCACGCTGGGCTCTGCACCGGGCGTGGAGCCTGCTTCCAGTTCTCTCTCTTCCTCTGCCCTCCCCAGCCACCCCGCGCGTTCTTGCTCTCTCTCTCTTTCTCAAAAAATACGTTCATGTTACGAAACACAAAACTAACAAGAGAAACCTGCACACCGTTCACTGGGGGAAGCCGTGCCCACCACACCCAGGGCCCCGTCCTACGAGAACATACGTGCATCCCGTGTCCCTCACAAAGGATCCTAGATGCGTGTGTCTAGCCCAAGCTCCCTCGGCTTTCGTGAACCACTGTCACTCGTCCTGACCCGGACGAAAGAACATCTTCGACTCCCATGCCTTGGGGTGCAGTGGGTGTAGGAGTGTGACTGTGTTCTGAGCACTACAGAGACAATGGTCAACTATTTTCTGACAGGGTAACTCTTACCTTCTTAAAAATGAAGAATTCTCAAAGAATGTGAGCTTTTTTAAACTAATAACGCCGTTTTTGTACCCGGTTAATGCACAGGAACACATGAAAGTCTAAGTCTCTAGACAGCAGGGAGGCCAGAAGAAATGCCTCGAGCGAGCGGCACCAACGCCTGCTCCCCACGGGCCCGGGACGCCGGGCAAGCAGGCCACTGGGCACCCGGTGGGTCGTGGTAGCTGCAGAAGCTGGTCTTGCCAGCATCGCACTGTGCCTTTCCCGGCGCAACCCCAATACTGCCCGACCGCGCTCTCCCTGCCGGCTCTCTTGGCTCCAGGTAAAGCCCTGAAGACATCCGCTCTCTCCCGACAGGCCATCTGTGCCTTCCGTGTGCAGCACGAGACACGAGTTACTGAAGAGACTCACACGCTCCTGTGCCCTCCTTCGAGCACGGACCAGGACCAGGCTGCGGCCACGACCTCGGTAGCCGGGACGAGGCGAAGGTGACCAGCTCCAGAAACGGCAGCTTGAGCACGTGAACGCACTGGGCTTCGGGCAGTCTCAACGGTCACAGGTGCACGTGGCCGCTGGGCCTGCGGCACTCAGGGACCGCTTGGGGACCGCCAAGATCTGGGGACGGGGGCCCCTGGGAAGCACCGAGCAGCCGCGTACACCACAGTCAGGGACACCCCCTCGCACGGCTCCCAGGGCTGCCCTGCAAGGGGCCCAGGGAAACCACATAAGGGACTGGACGAAACGGGATCTAACTCAAACCCACAGACCCTCAGCTTCCAGTCCCTGAGATCACAGAGCGCCCGTCTGTCGCGTCGGGCACGACTTGACTCTAACACAGCTTCCTTTTTACAAGGAAACCGACCTTGCCCTTCAGAGGGCCGCGGAGGCCGGGTCGGGAAGCCCCGCGACAGGGACACGGGAGGCAACAGTAAAGAGTGCTCTGTCCATACCAACACACCCGCAGAGCAGCCCTTACTCTGAAGGAACGGCAGGCTGGCGTTCAGCTGTGAGGACCGGTCACTGACGGGCAGGGTGCCGTCCTGCGTCCCAGGGCTCCAGCCGGGCTTGGGTCCCACACGGTCCTCTTCAAGCAGAACCGCAATCACCTTGCAAAGACAGTGAGCGGTCCTTCGTAAGCAAACATACGCACTTTTGTAAGAACAAAACAGAACGCACAAGTCATTACCTGTGCATCTATCGCATTTCCGAAAACAACTGCTTAAATTCCAGACATAGAAATGAACAAAACAAAATTACGTTGTTCTTTCTGCACAGTAACAGAAACTAAAAGGTAAAGTGACATTAACATAAACTCCACAGGAGAGTCCTTATTTAAATGCTTTTGCTGAAAATAACAGAAGGAAAGCAGTGGACCACCCCAGTCTTCTCAACTAAAGAGGGGGCACAAACGTGGCATGGACACACTACCACTGTCTTTCTCATGGGGCCACGGCGAGGAGAGAATGAGCCGTACATCACTGGCATGGTTCTAACAGGGTCATGTTTAGGGTCAGGGGTACACACGGCAGAACCAGGAGAAACGGGAGGCTGGGCTGCAGAAGATGAAGGAGAGCTGGGAGGTCAAGGTCAGCCCAGACCCAACCTGGCCCGCTCTGGCCTCGTTCATTCCTACTCCACCCAACCTCCTCCTCCTCACCCTGTACCCAAGGGCTCTCTCCTCGTAGATCCCCATTAACGGACCCTAAAAGAGAGGCCGATTAAATTTAAAATTACGTGAAAGTGTCATCTATCTCAGGATGCACAGACCCTCTCCCTAACTCAGCACGGGGAGGAAGGGACCACCCTGTGCCCAGAACACGACAGAGAAACAGGCTGGCTCCAAGCCCCCCGTCAGGGCCTGTGCTCAACACGCGTGCCACTCCCACAAAGGCACAGGAGGCAACAGAGGGCATGTGAGCGACTTGGCTCTTGATCGATTTAAGGAGCATCGCTACTGTTGAGCCTTCAGAGAGACTCACGCGGAAACACAGAGGGGCTGAGTGTCTGTTCAGAAATAGCTGGGGGTGGGGGTGGGGGTGGGGGAGCGAGGGGCATGGATGAGACCATCGGCCATGAGCTGACAACCAGCGTGTGCATGGGGTTCAACAGGCCGTTCCCATCATCTTTGGAGGTATTTTGTAAATTTCACAATCAGTTAAAAGTCATGAATTTACTAATTTTGAATACCTTAGTGAACGGCTACTTTCACAACTTAGCAAGTCTGGCTTTCCGTCTCTATTTATGTTAAAGGTAAGCAATCGGTATGACAGTACGCAATCCCCATACACACCCGCCTAGTGGTGACACACGTCCCATGGGGGCCGGACGAGCGCGTACCTGGCAGGCCGCCCGGAGGAAGCTGGACAGCCGGGGTGTGTCGACCTTCGGTGCGGTGGCCACATCACAGAGCTCTCCGCTCCCGCTCCCTAAGGAGAGCAGGCTGCACTGAACCAATGAAGTTGACCCTAAACTTCACGTTTTACACACCTTAGGGTTCAAAGAGTTGTTACAAACTTTTCCCTGGAAGGAAAAGTCAGAGAATTTTACATTGTTCTCTAGATCCACCACGATTTTTTCAAAAACAGCTGCACCTTGTTTTACAGAAAGTCTGTACACAGAACCCTACTTACATGCTTTAGGGAAATAGTTAAAGGTATCAATTTATTCACTTTGTGTCAGGGTTGGGTATCTTCTTTTCTTAGTGGGGGCTTCCCTGAGGAAAGGGAGCAATACGGCCCCCACCACACAGGCTAAGTCTCGTGACTAACAATCCACTAGGAAGGCGACCGGCACGGAGCACGGCCCCAGGCACTCCCTGGGCCTTCCGTCCGCATCGACGCAGAGTGTCTGGAAACAACCACGTCGAGGAAGTTCTCTATTAGTGAGAACAGGCCCATCGGAAAGTACCTGTGTGAATGTGGACTCCCTATGCTTAGGAACCAACCCCGGTCAAGGCCCACTGGGCCCCTAACTCAGTGCTCATGTCAGTGAGTCCCAAAAGCTAGTCTGCTCTTGGGAAGAACAGAGTGTCTCCCTAGTCACACACTAACAACCACACCTGGAAAACAGCACAAGAAAGGACAGGAAAGGTCACAAACACCACACCGGAAACGACATCGCGACACCATAGGCAGCACTCAAGAGCAAAGACCTCTCACCGCCTGACACGGTGGCGCCCTCGGCAGGGTGCTGGGTCCACACCCCTCGGGTCTCTATCTCCTCAGTCTGGACGTCTCTGTCCACAGCATCCTCGTTGTACTGGACGTAGGCCTTGAAAACAAGAGAGACGCTGGAATTAGCGCTCGGTGTCACCTTCAGAGCACCTTCCCATCCCCAAAAAAGGAAAAAACAGAAGTTTTAAAGTTAATAATGAGTCTTCCTGTTTTTGTCAAAGGTGTTGGTGGAAATACCAATCCTGCAGAGACCATTGGGTCTTACATGTTGATACATACAGGCCTAATTTTTGAAGGTGTTTTCAAATAATCACATTCAACTGTTAAATAAAAATTGGACAGAAGTGGAAGGAGCTCCCCGAGCCGGAGTCCCCAGTCCCAGAATGGGAGCGACAGAGTCAGCAGCTCAGGGGAGGACAGGGATGGAAGCAGCTACACATCAAAAGCCTGAGGCTCAGCACCCCGACCTCGAGGCTTCCAAGACCTTGGGGCTGAGGACCCAGAGCGCCCGCCTCCACCTCTGCCGCAGGGCAAGCCCCGGGCTCCACAGGGCGCACCTGTATCAAGGGTACGACCCGACCCGACCCGAGGAGAAAGGCCCCCAGGAGGTTCCAGCACAACCTCGCGGGGGCAAAAACTCCCCACCCAACCTGCGGGAGGAGGTTGCTATAGGACGGAAGCACCTCCGTGAGACACAGCTCCTGCCAGCCCAGAGACCCAAGAGCATCCAACCCCAAAACCACCTGCCCCCCCACACTTTCAGAGAGCACGTCCGCTTTACACACAGCTCGCTGCTCTCCTTCTGGCCATCTGTTCAAACACGGCCCCAAGGAAGCGTTCTCATGGGGAGCCCAAAACCTCCGTTCACACAACACAGACACTCCCTCATTCCTGACAAAACAATTTAGCTTTGGTTTGACAATACCGCCGCCCAGCTCACCAACTTCCTGTCTTCTCAGAACATTCTCTGGCTTTGCAAAACCAAACGCAACTTGTTTTATTTTGCAAAGGCACATGCTTCAGTAAAGATAAATGTGTCACCAACAGCTTTGAGGTGAGCAGGTCATCTGCTCAAGGACGGAGGGAGTCAGCCTCGAAGCCGAGACTAAGGTGGCAGCTCGCCGAGGATCGCCCTGTGACCTTCTCCCTGTGGAAAGAGCCGTACAGATGGAGCGAACCCAAGTGCTTGCCGACCGCTGACAGCATCAGGGACAGAAAAAGAATATAAGAGACGATGCCCGACTTTACACCCTTGCTGGGAAGCTGGACAGTCACAGAACTAATGCCCAGAGTACAGAGCGTGTGGTGCGGATACGGCAAGTCTGGAAGAAGAAAAAGAATTCAGCGTAAGCCACAAGGGAGGGCTTCACCTGAAGAACGGACGTGCACACTGGGGACTCGACAGGTGGAGGGGAGGAGGAAAGCAAGGTAACAGAGAGAGGCAGGCAGGGATAGCAGGTGGGGCACTCTGAGACCTGGGGGAGAAGGCAGGGCACGGGCAAGGGATCCAAACACAACACTCTGCTTGACTTTTAACAAAACCTCTGCAAGTCTGGGAGCGTACCCCATTCCACGCAGGCCATCCGTCCCTGCCCGGGAGCCCGTGGAGCCCGGGGGGGCGTCTGCCCAATCTCCCCAGGTTCGTGAGCACCACAGGATGGAGGCGCTCCCTCTCCTCAGGTCTGTACCCTTCCCTCACCGTTCCCAAGCCCTCGTGTTCCGAACGGGATACGGCACGTACGAGAGTCCTTTATGGTACTGCACTTGCATTCTGCCACTTAGTTAACACATCTTTGCTCACCTGCTTGGTATTTTTTTTCCCGAAGTTTCTGATATACATGTCATACTCATTCACTGGAGGCAGATCCAAGAGAGAGAAAGTGAACGAAAAATCCAAGTCAAGGAGCCGAAGCAGCCTAGTACTGCGCATCCTTGAAAACAAATGGAAGCAAGAGAAAGTCAAATTAATGATACACAAAGGGAATTACGAGGGGAGCATAAGGAAGCTTATGATCAGATCAGGTAATTGCCGAGGACCGAATTTTCCTGTGTGTGTGAGTCTGAGGTACTCAACAGTTGTTAATAACAAGTCATGCACCAGCAATGCAAACAGAGAATGAACCAAATTTTTGGTTCTAATTCCGTGCGCCAGACGTGAACACAAAATAAAGCTGGAATATGTGCTTGCCTAGAACTTCCATGGAAAGCAATGACTTCACTTCATGAACTGATGCCCTGATCAGAAGGGTTACGTCCTGTGAGGTCACCCAGGCTGTGGTCAGGTACACGCCGTCCTTTAGGTCACCTTCTGAGATGCCTAGACAGGAGGTGGCCAAGCAGCACATGACACAGCCCATTGCCCCTCCTGCCCGATGAGGCCACCAAGGTGCTTCTTGTTTGTGGTATCCCCTGGCCTCACACACTGTCCTTCTCCACTCACCTGAGCTGGTCTCTCTTTCCTTCCGGGCCCCCTCCTGTGGCCTGCCCAGGACCAAGCCCTGAATTCACAGTTCATCACCCGCACTGGATATAAGCTCTGCCAGGCCAGAGCGTTTGCTTTCTCCCATTTACTACGATTTCCACAAGGCTGGTGCTCAGACTGCATGTGGGGAATGGTCACCACCACCGGGCAGCTTGCAAATGAGATCTGCTCCCTCCCTCCTTACATGCCCGTTCTCGGACTTCCCCACTAACGGCCACCTTTCCATAACCTTACGCTTTGGCCACTGTCACACCTTCCCGAATTAGTACCTCCACGGTCCTCCATATTCAGCATCATTTCTGACCCGAAGTAATTCAAGTAATACACATACACTTATGTACCATAATATGGTAACATCCCAGGACCCGAAACCGTGGAATGACCTGTGCCCACCAAGGGTCCCCCACTGCCTGTCACAACCAGTACACAGAACTTGCAACTATCATTTTCTTGCTTTGTAGAACGTAATTCCAGCTTACATTTACCTATGCCCACACAGTACACTGCATGGTTCTGATTATCTCCGAGTTTCTAAAAATTACACTAAACCACATGTAGTTTCCAAGACTTGAATGAGTTTAAAGCAAAAACAAAACCTAGCCATAGTGGCAAAAACTGATTTTACTATTTTGGAGGCCCAAAATATAAGGATAACAAAAATGATATGAAAACTTATTCTTATTAATCATGATTTATTAGTTTATTAAGCAAAGTTTCCTAAGCACCCACTAAAGTCATGTACCGAGCTAGATGGAATGATGGCTTTTAAACACGGTTTCCTAAAAAAAATTTAATTTTTATGTTTACTCCTAAATCATACTTGAGTTTAATATGATAAACCCTTTACTTGAGACTATACACCTTGACTTTCATAAATTTCTAATTTTATAAATTTTTAAATTGTAAGCTTGGACTGCGACATCTGGGAGCCCTGGGTTCAAAGCTCAGCTCCACCATTCAGACGTTGACCCTTAGCCTCACTCTCCTCATCTGTAAAATGGAGCTGCAGGGACCGAGTGACGTGGTTAGCACACAGGAGCACAGTGCTTGGGACAAAGAGTGGAGCTCACGCCACGTGTTACCAAGCGTTGGTACTCCGGACCCTGACAAACTCCTCAGCCTCCCCGTCTGAGACGGGGATCCGGGAACACTGAGGCCGCCGGCGTGCGGGCACTGGGTGGTGCCAGCTGCACCCGAGGGGGAGCCCGGCGCCCACACACAGGAGGGCCCGGCTCAGGCGGGTCAGGGAGCACGTGGCTGTGATCCCCTCAGCCAAGACAGGCCCTGACTCCCAGGGTGACTCCAGGATCTAGACGCTGGACACTGAGCAGAGGGGAGAGCAGGCCGCACACGGACACTATTAACACAACAGCAGAACACGGAGAAGCGCGGCACAAATTTAAAAATGTACCTAACATCCGCAGTGAAAATGAAAAGAAAAGCTCCATTTTTTAAAGCATGTTGAAGTATATTAAAATCCCTTCACAAACTCCCAACACACCTACTTTTGCTTAAGGGCCTGAGTCCGACTCTTCTCACGGCGTGAGGCTGTGGCAAAATCAACAAAAATTCCACAAACAGGGGTTCTGGCAGGGGAACTGTTTGCACCTGCACAAAGAAAGGATGCCGTGTTGTGAGACTGAAGCATCTCTCACGCAGGACCGCTCCCTGGCTCCCGAGATGCTGGTTTCGCTAAAGCTCAGAGAACCTTCGATGTGTCAGCACTAGCCAGCTCGGCTCTGCCTCCTCTGCAGCCGGCACAGAACACGAGGGGACTAGGGGCGCTTGGCCGGCTTGGTCAGAACAGGAGACTCTGGATCCCCGGCTCATGAGTTTGAGCCCACATAGACTGTAGAAATTACTTCAATACATAAAACTTTAAAAACATGAGGATAATAATCATTCTGCCTACGTTCATTTGGATTGTTGTATCGTATTAATTATTAATCATAATTAGTTTATTAATTGCTAATTGTTTTACTAGATAATTTAAAGTAGTATATCACCCAGCAATATTTTTAACATTGTCGTATTTGATCTTTGGTGCTATGTTCAATGCTAGTTTTTTATCAGAATGTCATAGCTTCCCCTTTAAGCAACTTTAAAATATTTACTTCTCCTCTTACAAGTGACTTCAGCATGCACAGTGCCATTTCTAACTTCGTGGAGGAAACCCCCTGGAAAGAAGGGCTCCCTCAGGAGTGCTCCTGAGACACGTCTGATCGCCCACGTTCCTGACCTTATCTCCTCAAACCGGGCCTCAGCCCTGCGGCCACCACCCACATAGGCTCTCATTGGCTCTGAGCCTCCCTCCGACCTGGTCACTTTCCTGTGTGAAACTCAAAGGCGGTGGCATCCGAAAACAGAGGACGTGCTACAGACGGGCCGACGGACACCACAGGAAAGGTGAACAGGGCCGCACCCAGGACTGGTGGCTCCTGTGTGAGCGCCCACAGAATGACCTGTGCTCACAGCCGCTCACAGGCTGCAGGCCACCCCAGGGAGGCCACGCGCAGCTCTCCCCCTCAGACAGTCCCTGACGCACAGGACCAGTATCTTCTGAGTGCCCCACATGGCACCCTTTCGGGAGCACAGGACACTCACACGTCTGCCACCTAATTAGAATGATTCTGCCCCCAAGGACCGTGCAGGCGTGGGTGCCCGCTGTCCTGAGAGACGGACGTGTATACCTGTCTTCGAGTCCCTCTCACCCTCCAGCGGACCCTGCTTCTGAGCCAGTCTGCAGGACAATTCGCTGACCCTTTCATTTTCTGCATTAATGGCTTTCTGAACTTCTTGTATCTCCTTTTTTCTGGCCAGAGGAAGCTCTTCGATCATCTCTCTTGCTCCCAGCTCATCGGAGCTGTCATCATCTCCATCACAAACCTCAAAGTCATCTTCATAGTCCTACAAACAATAATCCCAGCTTTGGAACTTGGAAGACAACCTGACTTTAAAGAACACACATAGAAAAACGCACCATCTAGAATTAAAATAGACAAAATGCTCATTACAGCTAAGGAAAATTTTTACAGTTAACAGACGTCAGTGCCACTGAGTTATAAATCTGCATAAAGTGCTGCATTTTTCTCTGAAAATGAGCCACACTGTACAGATTCACACACACTGACACCTGTTAGTAAGGCTGACGTGCTAACGCTCCTGTGCTGAGAACACAACAGTGTGTGTGTGGGGGGGGGATGTCCTCCGCACACACAGATGTTTGTTCCAATACGCACACTCACGTCTGGGTGCAGTGCACTTGATATGTGCAATTGTAAAATCATTTAATTACATCGGATTGGTAAGCATTGATAGAAGTATGGCACTTTTATTGGTAACAAGCCTAAATCACACAGATATAGAGTATTAAGGGTAACGAAAAGAGAGAAATAAGGCTATTAAGTTAATAAAGCAGATTTTAGGGCACCTGGGTGGCTCAGTTGGTTAAGCGACTGCCTTTGGCTCAGGTCATGATCCCGGAGTACTGGGATCAAGTCCCTCATCGGGCTCCCAGCTCCACGGGGAGTCTGCTTCTCCCTCTGACCTTCTCCCCTCTCATGCTCTCCCCCACTGTCTCTCTCTCAAATAAATAAATAAAATCTTAAAAAAAAAAAAAAAAAGCAAGCAGATTTTAGAACACATGATTTTTAAGCTGCAAAAAATTTTAACTTTATACAAACTTCAAAATCATCCTCAAAACAAGCTGTATATTCATCTGCTCCAGCACTTTCTGAATCAAAGTCTTCCTTTTCCACTTCCTAGAGGTAAAAACAAACACACAAAAAATTCAATCACAAATTTGAATGTTGCAAATACACTGGGAAAATGTTTTCTAAGATATGATGTTGCTAATTTTAAAATGTATTTACAAAACTAACATCACCCAACAACAAATTCTCTAAGAAACACCTTGCTAATAGTAAATATGACCATAAAGAGAAAAACGTTAAAGAACTTATCCTTTATGAGAAACCGCTAAACTCTGATGAGACCAGGAGCACGAGGTACTTAGTGTGGCCCCCTCCCTGCAGAGCAGCAGACAAGCTGCACAAATCCTCACCCCTCTGAATCAGAGCACACCTGGCCCAGGGCTCCCTCACTCCGGGCTCCGAATCGGAGAGCACCTTGCCGGTCGCTTCCTCACTCCGGGCCAGAGAATAAACAGGGGAATCACTAAGTCCCACAGTGGGAGGGGTGCTCTGTCGGGCTCTGGATGTGTAGGGAGACTGCACACATCACCCTAAAGCCATCTTGGTCCAGGTACCCAGAAAACCAAGTAGAAACACATTCTAGGTTTCCAGGATAAGACGGCAGCAGAAATGAAACAGATGTTTGGAAAACTCATATCTTCCCTCCCAAAGCTGTTTCTCTTCTTATCCACATCTGCTCTTCCATGTCACAGGAGTCCCTCAGGCCCCGACCCTCCCTGGCCATCATCCTCAGCCCAGCACCCCCATCCCTGCCAGGTCCCTCCTTCTCAGGAAAGACACGTGATGGCACCACACCCGCTTTCACACCGGGTACTCCTCAGCCCAGCTGGATGGGCCCACACACCAGACGTTCACCAGAAGGGCTCTGGTTCCTGTCCTGGAGGGGAAACAAGCACACCAGTAAAGGGGCATTTCTGGCACATGGGCAGCACAGGCTCGGGGTGCAAAGGGTGAGGGTGACAGGGCCTGGCTTCAGAGGTAAGAAAGAAATGACCCCCAATCTTCAGTGGTGAAAACTGGATGGATGTCAGCACCTCACCCAAAACAGACACAGAGGAGGGAGAGGGAGCCTACGGGGAGGACGGGAAGCGTGACCAGACCGTAGTGAGTGTGGACAGAAGACAGGGACGTGCAGGGGCAGACAGAGCTCGGGCAGCACCCAGGGACACGGTCTGCCAGCGGGGAGTGCATCCGTCATCGCTAGAGCCCAGGACAACACTGTGCGGTCAAGTACCGCCCAAACCGACGCTCGATGCCACAGACATCCAGCTGCTCCGCGTCTGACTTCAAAGACGCACATTCTCGTCGCCCACACAACTGAGAGGGTTATTAAGGGCACCTCATCACCTGGGGGTGCGGAGAGTTATCTTATGCAGAGACTTCATAGGAAAAACTGTTCCCGAAAAGTGGTCCTTCTGGCACACCATCACACAGGGTCACTGGACATTAGCGTGAACGACGCACACCCCTGTACTGCAGCAGTGGACATGGCTCCTGCTAATCGATAATCGATGAGAGAAACACACACATGCTGTGCAGGAGCTTGAAACAAAACTTGTAGCCTTGCACTGCTGAACGCTGTTCCCGGGCTCCGGAGCCCTGACACACACCCACAGGGACTCCGTGACACACACTCACAGGGACTCTGCACCACTTCCAAGGCGATCCCGCCACTCGGCAAACACAGCACCCCAGGGCGTGCCAGGCACTCTGCCAGGGGCCGCAGAGCCCACACGCCACCTCTCTGCAGAGCTCGAACCCAGCTGACAACCAGGTTCCACCAGCAGCTGCTCAAGCACCCTGCCCTGGGGGCACTGAGAAGAGTGCCCTGGCGCCGTACAGATCAGTCTTGGAAAGAACTACTCAGTTATCCCTGACCTCCCCTGACCTCCCCTTATAAAAAGATGGCGCCAGAACACCTGGGTGCTGCAGTCCGTTAACGGCTGCTTTCGGCTCAGGGCATGACCCCAGGCTTCTGGGATCGAGTCCCACACTGGCCTCCTTGCTCAGCGGGGAGCCTGCTTCTCCCTCTGCCTGCCATTCCCCCTGCTTGTCCTCTCTCTCTCTCCCTCCCTCTCTGATAAATACATGAAATCTTTATAAAAAATAAAAAATTAAGAAGATAGTGCCATTTCCTTGATCTCCCTGGTTTGGCATTTATTTCTGAAAATTATTTGTTACCCTGACTCTGTCTCACTGATAATGAATCACATCTTCGGAGAGGTCTCTAGTTGGTTTCTTCAATTCTCCTCAACCCTCTTGCATTTAAATACAGAGCAATGATGACAAGGCTGGCTCTTTACTTAGCTAGAACCTCTGCCCGGCCTGCTCTTTTCAAAACCTCCCCCGCCCCGCCGAGGAAGGCTGCGGCGTCCGCGCACACGCAGTGAGCCATACCTCTCCCAGCCCTGGCACCGGGATGCCTTCGACACAACCGGGACTCTCCAACAAGAGCAACAGAAATGCCAGCAGAAGTCTGTTCCTCCAGCTATATGTAGAAGAAGGAAACTCGACCATTCTCTTACACCGTACACAAAGATAAACTCGAAATGGATAAAAGACCTCAATGTGAGACAGGAATCCATCAGAATCCTAGAGGAGAACATAGGCAGTAACCTCTTCAATATCAGCCACAGCAACTTCTTTCAAGATATGTCTCCAAAGGCAAAGGAAACAAAAGCCAAAATGAACTTTTGGGACTTCATCAAGATCAAAAGCTTCTGCACAGCAAAGGAAACAGTCAAGAAAACAAAGAGGCAACCCACGGAATGGGAGAAGATATTTGCAAATGACAGTACAGACAAAAGGCTGATATCCAGGATCTATAAAGAACTTCTCAAACTCAACACACGCAAAACAGATAATCATGTCAAAAAATGGGCAGAAGATATGAACAGACGTTTCTCCAATGAAGACATACAAATGGCTTCAGACACATGAAAAAATGTTCATCATCCCTAGCCATCAGGGAGATTCAAAATAAAACCACATTGAGATACCACCTTACACCCGTTAGAATGGCCAAAATTAGCAAGACAGGAAACAATGTGTGTTGGAGAGGATGTGGAGAAAGGGGAACCCTCTTACACTGTTGGTGGGAATGAAAGTTGGTTCAGCCTCTTTGGAGAACAGGGTGGAGATTCCTTAAGAAAGTAAAAATGGAGCTTCCCTATGACCCTGCCATTGCACAACTGGGTATTTACCCCAAAGATAGAGATGTGGTGAAAAGAAGGGCCATCTGTACCCCAATGTTTATAGCAGCAATGGCCACGGTCGCCAAACTGTGCAAAGAACCAAGATCCCCTTCAATGGACGAATGGATAAGGAAGATGTGGTCCATATACACTATGGAGTATTATGCCTCCATCAGAAAGGATGAAAACCCAACTTTTGTAGCAACATGGACGGGACTGGAAGAGATTATGCTGAGTGACATAAGTCAAGCAGAGAGAGTCAACTATCATATGGTATCACTTATTTGTGGAGCATAACAAATAAGCATGGAGGACAAGGGGAGTTAGAGAGGAGGAGGGAGTTGAGGGAAATTGGGAGGGGAGGTGAACCATGAGAGACTATGGACTCTGAAAAACAACCTGAGGGTTTTGAAGGGGCGGGGGTGGGAGGTTGGGGGAACCAGGTGGTGGGTGTTATGGAAGGCATGTATGGCATGGAGCACTGGGTGTGGTGCATAAACAATGAATTATGTTACACAAAAAAGAAAAAAAAAAACAGAAAAAAAAAAAAAGAAATCTGTTCCTCCCCTTCATACCCACTTCTGCTGTCTAAAAGGAGTCATAATTACCCTAATAAAAAGGGACTATGAAAGCAAAGACGCACCATTTGCAACGACACGAGTGCAACTAGAGGGTATTATGCTGAGTGAAATACGCCCATCAGAGAAAGACAGTTACCTAGACCTGACGGATATGAGGAATTTGAAGACAGGATCAGAGAGGAAGGGAGGGAAAAATGAAACAAGAGGAAACCAGAGAGGGACTATTAAACCATAAGAGACTCTTAATCTCAGGAAACAAACTGAGAGTTGCTGGAGGGGTGTGGGGTGGGAGGGATGGGGGTACTGGGTGATGGACACTGGGGAGGGTATATGCTATGGTGAGTGCTGTGAATTGTGTAAGACTGATGAACCACAGTACCCCTGAAACAAATAATACGTTATACGTTAATTAAAAAAAACAGCAAACAATCACGAGTAAAAGCACATCTTTGGATGGGAGGACCAAATGCGGAAGGACGGGCTTTCCTTACCGCCGTTTCTTCTCTCCCACGCTTCGGGGCCAGCTTCCACACCGAGGCACCCTCTTCCCGGCTGTGCTGGAAGACAGTGCCGAGGTCAGCCAGCACGGAGAGAGTCTCCAGGGCAGCCCCAGAGCCCACCCGGGCCCCCATGGAGGCTGCCCTCAGTGGTTGAGGACTGGGGTTCTGGCCCCAAGGTAAAAATACAAGATCACCCAGGGCAAGTAAGCTCTGTGCCTCGGGTTTCTCCCCTGAGAAGTGGGGATAAGAACATGGCTCCCTGCTCACCCACAAGGATGCGTGCCAAGACCCCCAGCGATGCCTACAATGTGGGCGGTACCGAATCCTATGCATACCGTGTTTTCTCCTGTACATACATACCTACGACAGAGTTTAGTTTAAGAGATGAACAGCGAAAACTAAGAATAAAGTAGAACAATTATAACAACACACCATGATAAAAGTTCTGTGACTCTGTCTCCCTCTCAGTGTATCTTACTGTCCTGCACCTGCCCTTCTCGTGAGGACGTGAGATGACGAAATGCCCTGTGAAGAGATGAAGGGAGGGCAGTGGCGCGGATGGATGATGCAGCGCAGGGAGCCTGACACGTCGGGGGAAGGCCATCTGCCCCAGACCACTGTTGACCGCGAGTATCTGAAACCGTGGATAAAGGGGCAGCAGCAGACCTACCTCCTAGTGACCGGGACAGATAAAGTGACCCTGTGCCGGCAAGGGAAACACCGATTTCCACCCCTGCGGTGGTCACCAGCACGAGGAAGGCCCAAGTCCTAGACATCACTACCCACAACTATTCGGTGCATAAGACTGCGGACAGAATGATGTGTCACCATGAAGAGAGTGTGGAGCTTTCCATGTATCCAGAGAATTGTTCTGGCACATTGTAGGCTTTTCATGAGGCTTAAGAATTAAACCAAGATAAACTCGGTGTTGATGCTGTGAAACATATGACCTAATCATGGGCCAAAATGAGCTGTCAAATCCCTTCAAGAATCCCTCAGGAGGAAAAGAGATCACAGATTTTGCTCTTCTAGAAAAAAAAAAAAAAAGACTGTAAAATGTCTTATTGATAATTTTCACATTGATTACATGTTGAATAATACTATTCCAGAAATACTAGATTATATAGCATGTTCTTAAAATGAATTTTGTTTCTTGTTGTGTTTTAATGTGATTACTAGACAATTTATTATTATAAATGTGGCTCACATTATACTCTGGTGAACAGTGCTGATCTATGGCTCCTTAGAATTGGAAGATATAAGGAAAACACTATAAAATCTGTAAATTTTCATCCAACAACTCCAGTTTCAGAATTTATCCACAAAAAGTGTGAGGCAGAGCTAGGTCACTAGAAGAAGGACTTGGGAAAAACAGGGCGCCGCGTGGGGGGTGGGCATGCGTGTGCAAGACAGAAGAAGGCCTCCCTAACTCCCAAATACACACGTTCATGCACGAGGGTCAAAGCCTGTACAGCAAAAAGGCTACCTGGGAAGAAGTCGCTGAAAGGCTTTAGCTAGATGGTGAGTGATCCAACCACCCCCAAAACTGAATGAATAAAACACAGCCGCATCAAAATAACAAAAATTCCATGTGTTTCTGTGAATGCACATGGGATAAAGAGATACATAAAAATAGGGCACAAGACATTAGAGGTGATTATCTCAGGGTCACTCAGGTTTCAGAAGCTTCCAAGGAAAGTGGCGGGAAAGATTTTCTTCAGATACAACACCTCACATCTGCTCACCGCGTTACCTCCAACATGGAACAACCAACTAGGAAACAGCCGGATGATAATTCCAGCCCCAGCGCCCACCACCTCACAGTCACTACAGTTTCACCACGAAGACGATTCTGATGGTAATTACAATGATGGGAAGAAAGTAAAGACTGGGCATCGCCCTCCACGCGCAGGGGACAGTCACGGGAGGGCAGGACCACGGTGGTGTGCCCGTCCGCCCTCTGTGGGGACAGCATGGGGATTCCTGTCTCCAAGAGCTTGTCCCTTCCCCTACGGGGCCTAACGTGTGGCCAGCCGGGAAATGCTGTTACTCTGTGCCCTAGTGAAAGGAGGCGCATGAGGCCCCACTATCCTGGAACCCTCCATTTCTCCCTCTAATTCTGTATTTTGAGGCTCTTTTATCAAGGATGTGTTCGTTTACAACGGGGACATCTTCCTGCGAGCTCGTGATTCTGTCACTACAGGGCACCAGGCTCGTCTCAGAGTCGGTCCCACTGCCATGGGTGCAGCCGTCTAGCTGCGACACAGGGGCCACGTGGAGCTCCCTCTAGTCCGTTGTCCTACTTTCGAACTATTCGCGTCTTTTCATCTAAACGTGTCGGCTATGTCCTCCTGGAATTACCACTTGAATCACCCATCTGCCGGCAAAGCCTGCCGCAGGCTCTGCTCTCCGAGCCAATCACAAAGACTCAGGGCTACTCTTGCCGCATAATAAAGTCAACATTAATGTCTTACCTTCCCTCTCGAGTCTTTATCTTTTTCATTATTTCTTACTAAATTCTCTGCATACCTAGGAAATAAGATCAAATTCAAAATTAACTTTCAACAAAGACTTGAAACATAAAGCATTTTACATCTCAGCGAAGGCTCTTCTATCTGATCTAAGCTGCTAAGACGGGCAAACCTCCAGAGCCCGTCTCACTACAGCTGTGGGCACTAGGGTCTCCCTACATTGCTTGTACTTCAGCAGCAAACCAAGAAAGAGCCTCAGCAGAGAGAAGAAACTACGTGTTTTAACAAAGCTGTGCATGTGTATGACTCTCTATCCCTATGAGAGTGCTAGAACACTCTGTAATTTTATTAGTCACTCCCAGAAAAAGCATGAGATCCTCCACCTGTAAGAACATGGACGGAGCAAGAGAATATTCTTCTAAGTGAAATAAGTCAGAGAAAGACAAACACCATATGATCTCACTCATATGTGGAATTTAAGAATTGAGATAAATGAGCAAAGGGGGAAAAAGGAGAGGCAAACCAAGAAACAGACTCTTCCCTCTGGAGAACACACGGCGGGTCCCCGGAGGGGAGGGCGGTGGGGAACGGGGGAAGAGGGAATGAGGCTAGCACTGGGCAGTGTGCAGATGGGCTGAATCACTACACTGTACACCTGATACTAACATTATACCGCACGGTAACTACACTGGAATTTAAATAAAAACTTTTAGAAAATCTAGAGCTTACATACAAAATGAGAATGCACACACCAACTCTAACCTGTAACCTTCACCAAACCCACACAAAAGAGGTGCTGTTGTTAAACTAACCCACGAACAAACAGCTCTGGAGGGTCACCCAACAGGCCCCACAGATGCAGACGTGCCATCCCAGCAGGCTGCTGCCTGAGCCCTGGCTGTGGCCAGACAGTCTCTGCGCTCCAACTAACGAGCACTGGTCGGGGGCCCTGGCGGCGCAGAGGGGGGCCAGGAGCCCGCCCCCAGACACTCCGCCCTCCCCGGGCTCCACGGGCTGCAGGCCAGGAGCCCGCCTACACACCCTCATCCCCCAAAGTAAGTGCTCCTCTCCAAGTTCACGGGAGCAAATATGGAAAAGGACAGAATAAAGGGCGCCTGGGGGGGTCTGTCATTAAGAGTCTTCCTTCAGCTCAGGTCATGATCCCAGAATCCTGGGATCGAGCCCCGCACCAGGCACCCTGCGTGGCAAGGAGCCGCTTTTCCCTCTGCTCCTCCCCAGCTGATGCTCTTTATGACAAATAAATAAATAAAATCTGAAAAAAAAAAAAAAAAAAAAAAGGCAAAATGGGACTAGTAATTTATAACAAGCTCCAAGCTCCTCTAATGCACCCAGACTGTACTTTGGAGGGGCTGCATCAGGGTAAGTGAAGTGTTATCTATCGTTCACTCTCATTTACTGACTCTACTCCGGCCCCGTAAGAAACACGTTCTGCGGAAGCACAGCGCGCCCGACAGTCACCAGAGAGCGCACGGTCCTTCCCGGCTGCTGGCAGGATCTCGTCGTGAACTTGCGCCCCGACGCCGGTGCTCACTGCTCTAGGAAACAAAAATCCCATGACACTCATTAGCACAGCATAGTGAAGTCACCGTAACTGTAAATTCTGTACAACAAGCATGAACTCCGGATTTAACAAAATCATCCACCACAGGTATCTCCTGAAAGAACTGTTTTTACCTGCTATCTTCAATCACATAATTAACGTAAGGAAGAGGAGTAAAGGTATACTAAAAGACGATCATACATTACCTCAGTAAGGAAAAGACATTTTTACTTATCAATTTCACATTACTTTCAGATAAATCTGACTAGCCTTACACCGCTAAAATTATAAACTTTCAAATATAATGTGCCTATTTCATGGATCCATCCACCTATAAAAAAGAAAATGCAAACAACTGATCTATAAATTCTACTTCTATAATTCTCTTGAATTAAGTGAATTTGTGAAAATAAAATGAAAACCATTAGATTGCAAGCCAACAAATCCAGATAGGTGCTTTAAAGAGAGAGACACACATTGAAATGGCCCAGAGGGAGGGGTATGAGGCAGGAATGGGACAGGTAAAGACCCAGGGCACCAGGGCCAGGGCGTCCCTGGGGCAGAGAAAGCTCACAGCCCTGGGGATTGACCCATGAAGAGTGCAGAGCAGAAGGAGGCGGGAATGAATCACCCACCAAGAAAGGCAGTCCGGAGCGCAGTACACAATGTATACCAAAAGCCTTGAAAACAGTTAAAGATATTCAAACACTTTCGTGTATCTATAAATACTTCCAGGAAATTATTCCTAGAAAACAATTCCTAGAACACAAACATGTATTAAGGTTTTCAATCGGGTTCATCACCGAATAATTTATTAAATAAAAAATAATTAGTAACCTGAAGGTCCCACATTAGGTTGCCTGTTAAATAAGTAAGGTTATGGCCACATGAAACAGTACCAGATTCCACTAATACCCATCGTAAAAGAGTATTTCCCAGAATAAAGTGGAAAAATAGCATGATTCCAATTTTGCCTTCATTTACATATAGGAAAAAGAATTTTAAGTATATACATACTTATTACAAAATGGATTATCTCTTGAGTCTGGGATCCTAGATAAATTTTGGGTTTTTTTATTCTTTCTGTAAAATTTTTTCCAAAATTAACTAGAGAAAAGTATAATTACATGTTTAACAGGAAAAGCACTCTGGCATCAGTCCATTAAATAGATTGGAATGGGAAAAAAAATGGAATCAGTCATGCCAGGTAGAAAAAAATATGACTTAATGGCTGTCTAGGTATAAAGAAGAAGAAAAAGTAGCTATGAGCAGCTCAGTGCCTTGTTCCCAAGCCCTGTGGGCTGGCCAGCGGGGTGCTGGGCTGGAAACAGACGCCCACAGGGGCCTGGGTAGTCACTGCCCCAGAAGCAGAAAGGAGCAGGGTCCATGCTCAGCAGCAGTAAGAGAGGCATAGTCACGCCGGATTCTTCTAAAACAACTGCTCCATCACCTTCAGAAGGCACCTCGTTATAGTTATGATGCTTAATCATGACCTCTCCATCCCTAACGGGAGACCGGAGGAGGGGACACCTGGCTGGCTCAGGCAGTAGAGCACTCGACTCTTAATCTCAGGGTAGTGAGCTTAAGCCCCACGCTGGGTACGAAGCCAACTTTAAAAACAAACAAACAAACAAACAAAACACAGAAAAGAGAAGAGAAAAGGAAAGAAATGAAATGAAACGAAAGTGGAAGAGGTACACAATTAAAATAATGGATCAAAAATCATACAGAGGGGCGCCTGGGTGGCTCAGTGGGTTAAAGCCTCGCCTTCGGCTCAGGATCAAGTCCCGAACCCGGCTCCCTGCTCAGCGGGACATCTGCTTCTCCCTCTGCCCTTCTCCCCTCTCACTCTCTCTCAAATACATAAATAAAATCTTGAAAAAAAAAAAACCAACACATGTCTCACTAATCACTGCGATACACTGTGTGTGCATTTGTTTCTTTATCAAATGGCTTCTCCGATGACATCCGAGCACAACAATAAAAACCTTTGGTCACAGCTGGTCCTCAGCATATGCAACAAGGGCGAGCACAGAGTGGCCACTCCATAAAGAGGAACAAATTATCAAAGAAACGAAGTTGGTCATCCATCAGGAGAGTCTCTGGAGGGGACTAATTACTATGGCAGTCTTTATGGAAGGAGTACTGGTGACGGCGACGGTTTTATCCACAGGGGCCGTCTCTTACTTCCAGCCTTAACAAAACCCAAATGTGAATGTTGTGACAAGTCTCAGAGAGGATTTCTGTGGGAAACCAAACAGGCCGTTTCTAGTCACTAAATTTGATACAGGGATGTGAAATAGGCAAGTTTATTAAAACGTTAGTGGGAGGATCTAGAAGATGGAAGCCTGTCACTTTGCCATATGTTTAAAAATGTTCATAATGAAATATTGGGGAAAACTCCCTAAAAAGATTTTGATCTAGAGAAAGAGATTTAAAACACAAGAGGAATGAACACGTGTCTGTGAGGGCCCACTCTCAACTCCTGCCTCCCTCAGCTCGTTGACACGCCAGCAGGTAAACGCTCAGTGGGCCTGATCTCAGGGAGGCCCAGGGGCTTGAGATGCACGTCTGTCCGCAGTCAACAAAACTGCTCCGGTCAGATAACCGTATGCTCTGATCACGAGCAGAGGCGGCCGGTGCCAGGGCGGGGTGCGGTCCCACCGTCAGGAAAGGCACAGACGTAATTTATCACACTCAGCCAAGAGCCAGCCAGGAGGGGGCACGAGGCCAGGCAGCAACTGCAAAGATTTTTCAGGACATTCTTAACAAACACTCCTCAAAAACACGCACGCATACTTTCTTGGACGGGCACCAGTCAACCAGGGGTCCCAGTCTCTGCCCCGAAGGCCTGACCCTCCTGAGCCTCAGCGCACCCGCCCCTCACTTTGCGTCCACCTGAAAGGGAGCACCACCAAGAAACAGGAGAATGAAATCGCTTCGCTTCAGAGTCTGGAAAAACAGCGCAGCAGAGAGTATATACATGAAAACAAAAGATACGATTAGGACAGGAAAATATTAAGCAATTGCAGTTACTATCAATATACATGGGAGGAAAATTAGACCCTTCGCAATCAACAGTTTTATTTTAGTGTTCTGTTTCGTAAACTTACACTACTAATTCTGATTCAAACATTTTGCTGTATTATCCATTTACTTTGCACTTAATATCATCATCAAAATTTCAATTTCATGACAGATTTCTGAGTATACTTTAAAAGTACATTCACAATATAACCAGAAAATCTGATTTCCTATTTCTTAGTAGACCAGCAATTTCTCCAAATTGATCACATCACACACACTTGCATCACATTTTTACCAAGGTGACAAGTTTTATCCTCTGGCTACAGGGAGATAAAACTCTTCTCTGTGAGTACCCATCTCAGGATGACCACAGAGACTAGGAAGCATCAGAAATGGTACCTTGGGGGCACCTGGGTGGCTTGGGTTAAGCTTCTGCCTTTGGCTCAGGTCATGATCCCAGGGTCCTGGGATCGAGCTCCGCATTGGGCTCTCTGATCAGCAGGGAGCCTGCTTCTCCCTCTCTCTCTGCCTGTCACTCCCCCTGTCTGTGATCTCTCTGTCAAATAAATAAAATCTTAAAAAAAAAAAAAAAAAAAGAAAGAAATGGTACCTTGGACTCCCTTTTCTTAAGATCTTCTCTCGACAACCTCTCTTTTTTATCCATGTCACTTTGGCGCCTCTCTTCATCAAAATGAAAGCCTTCCTTATGTCGCTTTTCCTTGTGTCTTTCTTCCCCTTCCTTGTCAGAGAAGGAATTACTCTTTTCTTTTGGATACTTTTCTCTTCTTTCCCTTGTGCTGCTTTTTTCTCCATGTTTCCTCTCTCGATCTGGCTCTTTTTGCTTCCTGTGTCTCTTTTCACCTTCTTCTTTATACAGCCAGTACTTAAGAGGATTGTCTTTACTGTCGCCGTACTGCAGCTGTGAACGGGACAGATGGAAAATGCGTGAGCACACGAAACATGGGCTGCCATCACTCACACACGGGATGATGAAGGTGGCAAAGCCGCACTGCCCTCACTCTTCCTTCCCGACTCTAGAAAGGAGCTTCTGGAAAGAAAAACCCAGAGCTGGTCACACAGCCCATAGGACAGTAGCAACACCATACTCCAGCCTTCACCCTGATATGGAAAACCACGTCCAAACCCCTCAGCATGGCAAGTATGCCCCCTCCTCCTCAGCCCGTCCTTGTCATCCTTGCCACCTGCTCTCCAACTGTGAATACACCTGGCACTCCATCAACCCCAGTCCCTCCTGTGAAATGTGTCACTTCTGGGAGCAGAGCGCCACACGCCCTGCCAACCTCTGTCCTTGGCAGTTCACGTGTCTGCTCCCCAATGAGGGAGATTCTTAAAACTGGACACTACTGTTGAGTCATCACAGGTTCCCCAAGACCACCGTGGGTGCTCAGTGGTAACTGCCGACTTCCGTCACACGGCGTCACATGGCGACACACGGCTCTGCACAGAACATTCTGCCTGACACGTCACATTTCTGGCCCAGACTCCCAGTTTCGGAAGCATCATCAGCATGTCTCAGCTGAACCCCACGTGGAACTGCCCTTTCCTCCCACCCAGGGCCTCCTCTCCTCACACCCAACAGGGGGGTCACTGCTCACTCTCCAGCCACAGGGCCCTCACCTCCTTCTCAGCTCAGTCCCCGTGGTCCCTGCTCCCGCCGTCCCTGCTCCCGCCACCCCTTCTACGGCCACCCAGCAGCCTCCTGACTTCTCTGCTTCACCTGATTCCCACCAACTCCACCCGTCTCTGCCAGCACAACCCTCCTAAAGAAAAACATGCTGGCAAGCTCCATGCGCAAACTCCTCGGGGGGAAGGTTAGATTGCGACCACACATCTGTCACCAAAATCAATCCTAAGGGGATTAAAAGATTTAAGTGCTAAAAAAAATTATAAGGATCCAGAACAAAATACAGGCAACTACTTACGTAACCCTGTGTGGGGAAAAGGCTCTGTGAGCATTACATCAACAACCAACAATGAAAGACCCGACTACTTCATAACTGTAAACTTACTCATAAAAACAAAGATCCCACAAACAAAATCCGAAACGGAAACAGAAACAGAAATAACTAGCAGGGAGTTCATCTTGAAAGTACTCTTGGAATAAAATGCCCCATTAGGAAATAAGTAAACAGACACAGGGAATGACTAACAGCGGGGCGGTGAGCCCTCGCATAAAACGCTCAGAAGTGCTTCTCTGTTCTGAATCAAATTAGCAAAGATTAAAAATTATGATCATGCCCAGTTGCTGCTTTGGACACGGGGAATTACACTCTGATGATATAAATAATTACAGCTTCTCTGTAGAGCTGTAAGTCTACATTTACTTTCATCTAGCAAGTTCATTTCCAGAAATTAATCAGAGGAAAATAATTATGAATAAATGCAAAAACTTTACCTCATGGATGTCTTCATAATTTAAAAAAATTCAGAAGCAACCTAAGTGTCCAAAAAAACCCAGATCTATCAATACAACAATGACATACCAATACTATACTGTGCAGCCATTAATATTCTAGAGAAATAGGACTCAGAAAAATGTTCCAAGTGTATCCCATTTAAGGTTTATAAAAGAGTAAAAAGCCAACTTAAGAAAACAAAGAGATATATATGTGCATATACACAAATGCATATGCAAACCTACTCTGTTAGGGTATACACTTACATATTATCAATAATTATCTTGGGGTATAATTTGTTTTTATTTTCTTCTTACGGTTTGTTTGAATTTTCTAAATTTTTCCAAAGCACCCTGTATTTCTCCTGGAAAGAGAACAACACACATGTGCAAGGAAAGGTCAGACCTTCCTCAGACCTTGAATCCTGTGTGGCAACACTTTCCAAAAATGCTTCTACTAACAATGCGTGAACAGACTTGAGGGAGCCTTCCTGGGGGCGTCCACATACCTTTCTTTCTCTGTATCGTCTTTCTCTCTCTTCATCCCCCCTTTCAGGGTCTTCATCTCTCCTCTCCTTCTCTTCCGTCCTCACTTTGCTTACTACAAAAATAGAGCGTATTTTTAACATCCCCAAACATCAGCACATAGGAATGACCTTCTAACATCTCGCTGCCCTCTCTACCATACGTTGTGCATTAGTGTGTAGTAGACGATAACACATATGGAAACATATTCACCAATTAAAACACATCCTTCAACATCAAGCATGAAAAGTTCTAGAATCTAAACTTAAAATGGGCGAAAGAGGGAGATCACAATGGCAGCTGCCACTGAAGCAACCCGGGAAAGATCAGACTGAGCCCTGGGAAACTCGAGAGGGGCACCAGCCCACACACACGTGCCAGCTGAGCACCTGGTCACTGACAGAGGTGCTCAGGGAGACAGAGCCCCATCCACGACGAAAAACTGGCCCAGTCACCAAGTGTTCGGAGGCCAAGAGAGAAATGCCTGCCTTGGGGGACAACAGGGGAACTGCACCAGCCCCACAGCCTCCAAGTGCCCACGGCTGAGGGCACCATGCAGGGAGAAGGCCCTTGTGAGAAGGAGGCAGTCTGCAGCCCACCTGCCGGCGGGCACCCCTACCTACAATTTGAGATCTCTCCCTGATAGTGGAATTAGAGATTCACTTTTGAACATGCACAGACCAAAAAAAAAAAAAAAAAAAAAAGTCATAAGGCTTAAAATTAAGAGAATCAATAAATTAGAAGATGAGGACAGAATTAAATAGAAATCACTGAAACAAAGTTCATTCATTCAAAAAGTGCTTGTGGAGCACTAGTCAGTGGGAGCCTGGGATATGAGAGACCAAACAGCAGGAAGCAAAGGGCCAGGTCCCGGGAGCCTGCAGGAGAAAGACGGCGTCCAAGGGACTCCCAGGTTCTCTGACCTAAGGAAGGGAAGGGTGCAGCCGCCATCAACTGAAGTGAGTAAGGCTTTGGGGAAGCAGGATTTGCAGGGATTTCAGAAGCCCAGGTCAAGACCCGCGAAGTTTGCAACATCTATCAGACATCAAAGGACAAGAGGATATGCAAGCCCAGAATTCAGAGATGAAACCCAGCTGGGAACCAAAACGTAGGAATCAAGAACAGATGACCATTGTTTCTAATCCCGAGAAAGGACGCAGTCACTGACAGAGACAGAACAGCTACAGGAGTCCAAAGATCACGGCCACACTCCACAGAAGGGGAGGCTCAGACGAGACAGGGAAGCGCCACATAAATGGTCAAAGAAGGGGGAAGGAATGTCACAATTATTCATATCAATAATGCATTGAAAAGACAAGATCAGGCAGCAACCAAAAAAGATCTGAGAACAAAAATGATGTTATTAGAAATGCATACCAAGAACATCAAAAAATCACCCTAAAAAGAGGCAAAGGGAGGAAGATAGTTGCTCTTAAACATGCTGAGTGGTGACCCCATTAACTCATAATCCCTCCACCAAGGACACCTCACCCAACACAAACGCACACCCACGCTCCGGAGCGCACGGCTGCTGGGCTCTGTGCAGACCTGCGCAGCAGCCCTGGGAGCAGAAAGCAACAGTACGTAACAGGGAACATGAACGAGGGGACTTGGTTTCCGTCCTGTTCATAACTAGGACCTCAAGCCTTTCTGACGAGTCTAAGAATTACTGTGTAATCTCTAAACATATTCCCTTTTGGTTACGTTAGCCAGTTAGAAGTTTTTAGAAGCGCATACACTATTTGTATAGTGCAAAACTGACAATACTTACGTGGGGAGGGCAGTATGCACATTTACCTTAGAATTCCTGGGAATCAGATAAAAGCATTTAAATCTTGTTCGGAATAAAACTGACACTTTTGAGGAATTCTTACTAAAGAGCACTATTTCTGTTTATTTACAATGTGGGCTGAACTTTAGTTAGTTAATCTAAAATGTGTTTCAATAGTAAACCTCTAGCAAGTAATGAGAAAATTGTTACTCTTTTCACTCACTGAAATGAGCTTTGAAAAGGCCAAAAAGAAAGTTGAATAATACACACACACACACAGACACCCGGAGGCCTGTACCTTCAAGGTCAAGCTAAGCCGCTTATGCAAACCATGAAAGAAACACAACTAGCAGCACCCGAAAGAGGGCAAGGCCCCGAGCACTAAGCTCTTTCAGCGAGACAGACAGACAGGCTGCAGCCGGCGGCTAAGCACTGCCGCAGGAGGGACTCCAGAGCCGCGCAGTGGCTGCGGCTGCGGCTCCACACAGGACACGCACCTGCTCCCATCCTGCGCTCCGCTCTGTCCAGGGGCTGCCAGCCCAGCAGGTTATGGTGGGCAGCCGTCTGTCTGGGCTCCTCCCTTCTGGCTCTGCGGTCTCTGTCCTTGTCCCCCCTGTCTTTTCCTTTACTGTGAGACTTCTCTGTGTCCTGTTCTCTGGATTTCTCTTTATGCCTTTCCTTGTCCCGGTCTCTGGAGTCCTTTTTCCTTTCCCTTTGCTTTTCTCTGTCTCTGTCCCCATGAGGGTTGTCCCTGGCGGGGTGGCCGTCTCTCTCGCCAGGCCTCTCTCTATACTTGGTGTCTTGGTCTGGGTCCCTGGGCTTGGGCTCTTTGTTTTCAGGGAGGTCCATTTCTGATTCCTTATGCAGCTTCTTTTCTCTGTGTTTCTTATCTTCCTTAGGAATACCTGATCGTGCAGCCTAAAGCAGGAGAAAAAAAGCAGAATTTGGAATCTGGGTCACACTCAGTGAGGGGTCTCAACACCGGCTTCCACTGCTCTGCAGCCCAGCAAGTGGGGCCTGGAAGATGTCTCCGAATCGGTCAGGGGATCAGACTGAGCTCGCCTATGACTGGCGACGGGTGCCCGTTCATTAGAGACATTCACGTTTGCTGGCAAGTCACAGCTGAAATACTACACGGAACAGGAAGAAAAAGAACAGGATGTTGAAGCTTTGTCTTAAAGTCTCTGAGACACCACAGCTTGGGTCCAACTCAAAGAACAAGGACTGACTGCCCCCCTCATAAAATTCTCAGGTCTTGATCTCAACCCGTTAACCTTAGAAATAAAACTGCCAGTACGTTACCAGCAGAAATGGGTTTCTTCGGGAACGGAGAGAATTGCATTCTGGGACAGTTAAGCTGTGGCAGAACCGTAGGGGATTCTGCGGAGCAAAGGAGAGGAGGCCCCTCCACAGAGGAGGGGGGCGTTGGGAGGAGGGGCTGCTGTGAGCTAAAAGTCTGCTGGTGTGAACTGGGAGCTGGGAAGTGGAGTGGCTTCTCGTTGGCTGAGCTGTTGCCAGGCCAGGAGGGAACCGTCCCTCCTCCTGCCAGGAGAGTAAAGCAGCATCCACCGGGAGATGCCTCTCTTCCTGCCAGGTCTGCAGGGGACAGTGGAGGGGTGGAGCCCGAGCGCGGCCCCTGCCGGCCTCCCCACTCCGTTCCAGAGGGGGCTGGCTTGTACTCGTTTTCACAACCCAAAGCTCCCTCCAATAAACCACACACAGACACATACACACATACATGAACACAGGCACAAACACACATGCAAATGTATCACACAGAGAAGCCACATGTGTGTGCAATACCGCACACACCACACRTGCCCTCAATGCACACCACACACAGACACATACACACATACATGAACACAGGCACAAACACACGTGCAAACATACCACATGAGAAGCCACATGTGTGCACATACCACACATACATGTTTACTCAATGTGCACCACACACATACACACATGCACATGTATTGCACAGAGAAACCACAAATGTGTGCACCTATCATAGACATACATGTGTGCACACACATGTGTACTCAGTGCACACCAAACACATACACACACACAAACACACACGGCCCAACCCCTGACCCATAACAGAAACCTGATGCAGCTGCTGGGAGGCCGGGTTGAATGGGGCAACCCTGTCCCACCAGAGTGCCAGACCTATTAACCATACGGCTTTATCTCTCGGTCAAAAACACTTCTGAAATGAGCCACACAGAAGCCAAGTTGAGAAGCAGGTGAAACCATCCAAGCTCCAAAAGGACCCCAACGCAAGTCTTTCAGAGACAGTACCAAAAGATGCTTTCTGAGGTCATCTGCTTTCCAAGTATCATCTTTTGTTCTTCTCTAAAAAGAAAAGTATAAAGTTAGAATTTTTAACGTTTAAAAAACTAATTTTGTACATCTAGTGAGCTGCTTTTTCATTAGGCCATTTAAATCAATGGCAATGAGTCCTTCACATGCAACAAATTACTACCTACTAAAAGAAAAGGTAATAGTAATACACATTTTTAAAAATTATTCCCTAGTCTAAAATTACCTATAAACAATTACAGAATGTGTTCCTCTGGCTACTTCGTAAGTGCAGGTAAAACACACCCCCCACCTTCCCCATGTCACCCAATGCCTGTCAATGCCCGGTCCCACTGCCCAGCAGTATTTCTGTCTGCCAACAGAGCAGATGCCCCTGGAGTGTCCCTGCCCAGCAGGCCGCACCCCCTCCCACCCCCCAGGCACTGAGCTTGCACAACAGGACCCCTCCATAAACACCCACACACAGGTCACCTGCCACGTGGAAGACACACTTAGATAATGAAGGAATTCACTGCGGAAATTAATCAAGGATGTTTCCTACAGACAAAAAGGCAGATTTACCCAGATTATTTCATTTTCCCTTTGAGAAAATGTATTTTTTTACAGATTGGTTGATTTAACAAAAGGCGTCCTTGGTAAGATATGGTATAAGATGGTCAGCAACAATTAGCATAGCTGTGACTTGGAGTTTCTGAACCTTAAAACTCTGTCTCAAGTTCACTGCTCTGTGTAGAGGTTTAACATGGGCCCTTCTCCAAACAAATGGTCCAAACTCAACAGAGAGCTTGTGTGCCCCTGGGAGAGGACAAGGGCTAGAGACCCCGAGAGTGGAAGGGCACCAGCCAGGGCCCGTGGACCGGACCCCCTCCTGGCAGTGATTACATGACTTACGCTGCTCGGCAAAACCCCTGAGGGGGACAGCTCCCCAACAGACCACAAGATCTTCCTTCTGCCTCTTTTACCAGCCCAAGCTTGGGCACTTGAAAATCAGGCAAATGGCCTTGCTCACCCCTAAAGATTTTTCTTGTTTTCTCTTTTAAATGTCTTACGTTATGAAAAAAAAAAAATTAAAGGTCTATTTTATAAAATAACACACAGCTCCCTCATGCCCTATCCCAACCCCCACATATCACACATATTTTTAGGAAATCTGCATAGATTGTGAGGATAGAGTGCTTCAGACCAGGAGTCTTTTGTCTTTTTTACCCTCTACTCAGCCAAGGCCTCTTAAAGACCAAATCCACCAGCATTTCAGTCCCTGCCCTGTGGAACGGAGACACCAGTTAAACTCTGGTCTCTCCAAGTACAGAATAGAAAAGGCAGTGCTTTCCCCTACAAGGGGAATAAACTCCACCCTGAAAACAAAACGAAAAGAAGGGAGCTGCCTACAGAGCAAACCCTTCAAGCTCCAGGACTGCTCAGTCCACACACAGGCAAGCCGGAGAGTTCAACTCCATGACGTCAATGTCCAGGCCGGGTGACCCTGGGCTGTGGGTCCGCTGCATGTAAAATACGCAGTGCCTGCAGAAAGAGTCCCGTGTACCGACCAGCATCTCACCCGAACCCCCCCGCGAACTGGCTGACTGATGCCAGATTACCACGAGGCTCTCCGGAGCACTGTGCGGGGAGCGCCTTGGACAGCCCTCATGGTGCGGTCCATCTGCCCCTGGTGTACAGCAGGACTTCTGCGGACTTCTCGGCACTTCTCTTCCACCTCACGCTGACGCCCCAGGAAACCCCGCAGGAGGGAGTGGAAGCACGGGCACCTCACCAGCCATCCTTTCGGGAGGCAGGGGCTACAGAGTATCTCCTCCTGGGTCCCTTCCTTTTCCCGTAGCACACCATTTACTGTTTGCTCTCGAGCCAGACTCAGAGGCAGGAAAGCCAGAGTCTCCCTCTTGGGGTCACGCCCCAGGCCCATTACCTCCAGTCATCCCTCTACCCCACTTCCCTATTCCCAAAAAGCAGTTTCCCCAAAGCATACAGATGCCAGGACATTATGCCCCAAATAAAGAGCTCAGCCACCCGGACCTGCCTCCAAACCCCTCAGGGGATATAATTTCCACCAGTCACACCACCCAACCCAGGGGCTGCTGGGGACGTCCTGGACTGGTAACACTGCGCAGCCACCCGATGTCTTCACAACCCAGCACCTTCTCAGCTGAGCAAACACTCGCTTGCTTGCCAAACGTTCAAACTAAATGTCCGTTGAACTGGTTAGCTGCATGTTAATAAAGGCTTAAAAGTCTTAGGTTGTCTTGTTTTCCACAAATTGTTTGAAATAAGTTCCCACAGCTCCTGACACCTGGAGGCTAAGCACCCTTGCCCTCAGCATACTGGTTATTGGTCGCCGTGGCTGGGCTGCATGCCAAGACTGGCCTCATGGACAGGGCACCGACATTCCGTTCTCAGATGAGATGCAACCCATCATCGAGTCCTACTACTTTTTCTTGTAACATGTTTCCCAAAGTGAAAGAAATCCACTCTTCCTCCAGTTCAACTGCCCCAAACCCAGCCCAGCCTTTCATACTGTGGCAGTCACATGGTCTGTATCTACAGCACCACTGGTCCAACCCAGGGGATCTAGTTCATAGCACCCAGGGACACCGGAAGCCACAGAAGGGTGGCCTACCAAGCCCACAGAGCAACAGACTAACTAGTGCATTAACCTAAAGACGCAAAGAGGGGAGGCTGGCTCATACACAGCTTTCAGACTCAGACATAATTTACCTTTAGCTATCTTTTAAAAAATTACCCCTTAGGGGCACCTGGGTGGCTCAGTGGGTTAAAGCCTCTGCCTTCGGCTCAGGTCATGATCCCAGGGTCCTGGGATCGAGCCCCGCATCGGGCTCTCTACTCAGCAGGGAGCCTGCTTCCTCCTCTCTCTCTGCCTGCCTCTCTGCCTACTTGTGATCTCTGTCTGTCAATAAATAAAATCTTTTTTTAAAAAAATTACCCCTTAATGCTAGAAAATGTTTTATATTATTGAATTCGATTACTTAGAAACAAATTACTGGTGCTCGAGTAATAAAGTGAACTGGATTACTGATGGCTCCTCTGCTCTGCCCTATAGTCCCTGCTTCGTAGCACACTGACAGGCACACCGGCTGCCTGAGCCGTGCAGGTCATTTCCAACATTCCAGATGTCAAAGTCCAGGTGGAGCGCGTGTCTCTGCAAACCAGGGTCCTACCGCACAGACACCACACCGGGCACAGAACACCTCAGCTTGGACGGCACAGTCTGACTTGCAAGGGGGAGGCTGACCGTAGACCGAGTCCGTTCTGGAGCTGAATGCGATTAGCAGTGTGGGGAGTTTGTCGAAGAGAAACTGCCAACAGCGGGTGCAGCTGAGCTCCGTTCCCATCTGCACAAGGCTGGCTGGGTGCTTCAACAGAGCAGCCGGGGAAGAGAGACAACCACGCGGGGTGGTCGGCATCAGTGCAGCCAGGCCAGCTGTGGCTGTGGGCTGGCAGCTACAGAAGTCAGGAGCCCACCTTCCCATAAAGACCTGGAGGCAGAGGCCTCATCCTTCCTGAGGATTCCATTTCCAAGATGGCTTCCGGTCCTAGAGAGAAACACTCCTGGGCTGTAGAGACACAGAGACATCTCAGAGGGACAGAGGAAGGACGCAAAACTGTAAACGCACTAGAAAGGGGAGACAGGCCTGTCCAGGTGCTGGCCAAACACACCACTATCACGACAGCCCTGGGCTTTGCCAGACAGGAACTCCAAGGCGGCTGGGTAATCACAGGGACATAGCCTTAGGCTGCCAGAAGCCCCTAAATGTTAGGTCTCTCCATACGGGTCTCTTCAACCATGTAAGTGGGTTAGTGAGGACCAGCTCTCTGAGAGCCCAGGGTATTTGCCCTAGAACATGCAGGCTTTGCAGAAACAGAAGTAACACCACACTGACCTAAACTGTTAAGAGCAGTTACAGTGATTGGCTGAACACAGCAATTCCAATTTCACATCAACATTGAAAAAGAAAGACAAGAAATGTATTTTCTTCTAAGGAAAATCTAAATATATATATATATATCTCTACATATATGTATTTATACCTTTCAAGCTATGATTAATAAGTTTCATGATAATAAACTCACACATTACCAACTGTTTGCTATGTAACAGAAAAACTTAGAAGCTTCTAAAATTTTCATTGAGCATAGAAATTAATAAAAGTCAAACACTGGAAGCAATGTAAACTAAAGCAATTTTAAAGAACTAACACTGAGGGTTAAAAAGTTTTTAAAAAATTACCCCTTAGGGTGGCTCAGTGGGTTAAAGCCTCTGCCTTTGGCTCAGGTCATGATCTCAGGGTCCTGGGATCGGGCCCTGTGTCAGGCTCCTTGCTCAGTGGGGAGCCTGCCCCCACCCCCGTCTGCCTGCTTCTCTGCCTACTTGTGATCTCTGTCTGTCAAATAAATAAATAAAATCTTAAATAAAAAAAAAGAACACTGAAAACTGTCACTACCTTTATCCAGCAGGTGTAAAGCCAGCAAACACACCATTAAGTTTAAGTTTTCTAAAAATAGCTACAAAATACAGAGCCTTGTCATGATCTTAGTAGAAATAAAGGACCCAAAACTGGTTATGTTAGTGATAGAAGTGATGTCAGCAAATAAATATACTGACACAAACCTAACGAAAAGTTTGGTACATGATAAGGGGACAGTAAACACCACCAAGTACAGGACAGTTTCATTCCAGTCACTGCATAGAGGCTTTACCCTCCCCTTGACTTTATGGAACAAAATACACTAATTCTGTAGCACTATAATAATTGCATAATAAGGTTCTCATGACAAATAGATTACCCTCCTAAAAAGTTAATGACCAACTTACAAATGAGAAGCTAATATGAGGACTTATTAGCTTCCAGGAAATAGCTGCTTTTGCTACTTTGAAATGTTTATTTTATAAATAGGTATTAGAAAACAACCTCCCAAATAATTCAAAGTAATGCAAAATGTAATCAACTAGGTGAACTATGTCAGCCAGAATCACAAAAAGACACAGGAGAGAATGCAGCTGGGAGGGATCTAATGGAGAAATACATGTCTGATAATTAAATGGTTTGGGGAGTGGAAAGCCTCAGTAAACCCTGTGTTCTGTGCCTCTCTGGAACCCTACCTCAGTGGTTCAAAAACAAGGGCTTTGCAAACAATTCAGGGAGAAGACTGAGAAAGAACCAGCAGAGCAAGCCCCTACTATTCAAATAACTTACTTTAATAAACCAGGTGTTTCATTCATAAATATGAAAAGTCATTCAGTTGAGAATACACCAACATAAGAAAGAGAAGAATCAAGAAAAACAAATGGAGAAAATTACCCTAAAAAAAAATGACCAAGGAAATAAGGAAAAATCTTTATTTAAAAAAAAGGATAGTAATTCAAAGGGACACATGCATCCCAATGTTTGTAGCAGCATTATCTATTCTAGTCAAATTATGGAAATAGCCCGAGTGTCCACTGATTGATGAATGGATAAAAAACATGTATACATACACAACGAGATATTACTCAGCCATAAAGAAGAATAAAATCTCGCCATATCCAAGGACATGTATGGAACTAGAAAGTACTATGCCAAGTGAAATAAGTCAGTGAGAGGAAAACAAATACCATACGATTTCACTGGCAGCTAAGTTAAGAAACAAAAGAAAAGAGCATAAGGGAAAAGAGAGAAAAGTCAAGAAACACTCTTAATTATGGAGAACAAACTGATGGTTACCAGAGGGGAGGGGAGAGGAATGGGTTAAACTTGCAACGGCGATTAAGGAGTGCAAGTGTCTTGATGAGCGCTGATGAGCGCTGCATGACATGTGAAGTTATCAGATCACCATACCACACACCTGAAATAGATATAACACTGTATGTTAACTACACTGGAACAAACTTTTTAAATTTTAATTTAAAAAACAAAAAAGCTTCCTGCTCTAACCCCAAGGAGAGACAGTGCCTTGAGAACTATCTCCCTCTTTGGAGTGCCTGGGTGGTGTCGTAGGTTAAGCGTCTGACTCATGGTTTCAGCTCAGGTTTGTGCTCTTAGGGTCACAGGATCAAGCCCCGAGTGGGACTCCATGCTCAGCAAGGAGTCTGCTTGAGATTCTCTCTCCCTCCCACTACCCACCCCCCCAAATAAATAAATAAATCTTTTTAAAAATGGGGCACCTGGGTGCCTCGTTCAACTAAGCTTCTGCCTTCAGCTCAGGTCATGAGCCCAGGGTTCCAGGATGGAGTCCCTCATCAGGCTCCCTGCTCAGTGGGGAGTCTGCTTCTTCCTCTCCCTCTGCCTGCTGCTCCCCCTGGTTTTGCTCTAATAAATAAATTAAAACTTAAAAAAAAAAAAAGAGCTACCTACCTCTTTATTTGCAACAAGTAATAAAAGTTCTCTGCTTTCAAAATTAATTAACTAAATTAGAATTAACAATGAAATAGATGAAGCTAACAATAAAGCTGGAGAAATCAGAATATAGAAAAAGGAAGTCAAAGAGATGGAAAATATGAGTCATGAATTCAACATCTAACAGGAGACTGAAACAGAGTTCCAAAAAGAATGGGGAAAACAGAAAGAAGGAAATATAGAAGAGAAAAAAAAAGTCCTAAAAGTAAAGGTAGACTTGAGTTTTCATTTTGAAACGGATAATCAAATGTCAAAAATAATGAATTCTTTAAAAGACCCAAAATAAACAAACTGCCATATATGTCCTGAACACCAGAGACAAGGATGTTAAATCTTTTGGAAAGAAAGAAAAGGTTATTTACAAAAATATCTCACCAACCAA